CACTTGCTTTAGGTCCTCCTGGAGAGCCAGGACAGAATGGTACGCCGGGTCGTCCTGGATTAGTTGGATACATCGGACCTCCAGGTGAATAAATAACTAAACGAATAATTCAGTAGTGAAGTGGTAAAACGGTACAAGTCAATTTTGACTATTGACCAGTTTTCAATGAATATCTCGGAATCTAAGGGAGAGAGCAAAATTTTTATTATAACCTTTTTTTTAGAGCCCATTGAGAGCTACAATAAATGTAATTACGAAAATTTCGCTATCTCCCTTAGATTCGGAAATATTCCTGAAAAACTGAACTGGGAGATAAGTCGACTTAAACCGTTTTACCACTTCGCTACTGAATTAATAATCATGATTGAATTTTCCACTGGCAAGTGTTGCCTCAGGCACTTCAATAACTTCATTTTGCAATAGGAATCACTTTAGAAAATGCAATTGATGAATTCATCATTATTTTAAGGTTTACCGGGACCACAGGGACCACTGGGGATTCCAGGACCGAAGGGAACGTCCGAGAAAGGGGAACAGGGAGACGATGGACTGCCAGGTCCTCTGGGCCCCCCAGGCCCTCCAGGAAGACCCGGTCTTGTTGGACCGATCGGTGCTAAAGGATTCCCCGGTGTTACCATCATTGGACCACCCGGTATAGACGGAAAACCCGGTTTCAGCGGTTTGAATGGACCACCCGGAGAGCGCGGAGATCCCGGACCAGAAGGTTTGTCATTCTTTCTTTATGAATGTCTTTTATGAAGTTTTTATTCGAATAGAACTCTTGCACGGAGAGAAATATTCAGTAAAACTTACGGAACAATTCATGTAATCCGCAATGGGGAATCGTTTTCCGGCAATTTTTGTAGGAATGGAAGAGAAGAAATCTGAAACGTTCAGTGAATTCTCAGGTTCATCATCGAACAAAGTACGAAATTGTCACGTAATTTTTCCCGAAGAAGTAAAATCTTATAGAAACTCCCCGACTTATAATGCCTACAAAATCAAAAATTCTTGTCCGTTCAACAATTTTTAGGAAGCCGATGAGTTATTTCTACGTTTCGTTCCATAAAATTTCTCAATCGTTGGGGAAAAATTACAGAACGAGTTGTTGTCCTCACAGCGGTGAGTCATCAGACGAGTGGTTAATTTTTTTACGGAAAAAAAATCGTAGAATTTACGTGGCTTTTTTTTATGTATTTTTTTAAATTTTCTTTTTGTAATCTTCACTTACACACATGTAACATCGCAGAATGAACCGAAAGGTTCCAATGCATATCAATAAAATCAATTTACGCGGCGATTCGTACAATTTCTGTTTCGATTCACACTTTTCATTGAATTTTACTTCACTCACGGATTACGTTTCAAAACGTAATTTTTACTTTTTCTTCTAGTAATTTTTATTGAATGTTCCTCTCCGTGTGACAGTCATGAAATATTAAAAGCACTTCGCTAAATGATGATTATTGATTCCTCACTATAGCTCGGGATGTTAATTATTCCATGTCTGAGGAGAGATGATCAGATTATTCCTCATTTAAGACTTGCAAATTCAGGACTGGTGGATTATCTTGCGATCGTTATCTCGATTGTTCGTCCTTCTTCATGATTGAAAATATGTCACAACACGTATGAAAAAATTCAGTAGATAAACTTACCGAATTCGCTAATCCTGCTTCATTTTTGAACAACGGATTAGTTGGAGCTTCATTGGATTTGATAAATACACTATTCAGACTCTCAACATGAAGCATTCGTAATTATTTAACTCTAGTCTGGTCACCAAACGCGTCCCTGCGACTTGGTCACCTGCGCGGGGATTCCCCGCCGTACTATTTAGGCTTTAGCGTTGCCGAATTCATTCTACACTGCCCGGGCGCGTTTAGCGAGTTTCCGGCAACGTCGCGTCGTGGGCTATTTCATTTAACATGCACGGAGAAAAAATTCCAGAAAAATTACTGTGGTCGCGTGGTAAAATAAGTTCATTTGGACGGACCCGAATTTACAGACAGCAGTTCAATTTCGATTACGTTCAATTTGAAACCCAATTCGAATCGTTCAACACAGAGTAGACTCTAGAAATCGGCAGTGAATGAAGTGCTTCATTCAATTTCGATTTCCAGAGTGTAGTTTGTGTTCAGAAAGGGAAATACGCAGCGCATGAATAGATTGTTCGAATTACTCATGACGGTGTACATAAATCAATAGATCGTTTGAATTACTCATGACGCCATGAGTAATTCGCATAATCTATTCACTTACTGCCTATTTTCCTTGCTCCTTGAGGAACTTCAATAGAAAATTGAGACATTTTCTGAGAGAAAATTCCTGAAAATCTCTTTCAACAAGAATGCAATGTGGACTAGGAGTAGGAACGATGACAGAGTAATAAGGGAAAGTGGGACAAAAGGGATGATTTGACTTTTTTTAGTTGTCAGTGAGCCATTGAATTGTTAATAAAATGAGATTTTTTAAATGAATAGTACAATTCTCCCTCTTTGTGGTGAGTCCAGACTTAGTTCAATTGGGGAATTTATTTATGAGTTTAATTTTGAATTTGTTTATTGAATATATTTATTGAAAATATTAGCATTGAATATTTCTATAAGATAGATTTGTTAATTTAAATTCCTCAATAGGACAATTTTATCATTACAAAATATCTTAATTCTCCACAGGATCATTCGATAGGAATTATTCGTACATTGCTCCACTTTTCTACTCTTCAATAAAATTCTTTAAAAAATGCACACTTGATTCTTTCAAATTGTTCATAAATTTGATTTTTTTTCTATGGGAAGCCCCAATTAATAAATTTGTTTATGAGTTATCAACATCTAAAAAGAAGTTAAAACCCATTGTGCCCCGTCCTCCTCTAATATTCAAGATATTAGCGTTGAATATTTCTGTAAAATATACATTTTTCAATGTAAATTCCTCAATGGAACACTTTTCTCATAAAAAATGTCTGAATTCTCCACAGGATCACTAAATAAAAGTTATTCACACATAATTTTTCTTTTGCATTCTCCACATTTCGTTTTCAATGTTTCAAATACTTTATTATTTGCCCAATACAACATGAAAAATTGACCATTTAATAAAAGCAAAAAATATTATTTGTGATTCAGAAGGAATTTTCTTTTTCTCTTATTACAATTATTTCGTATTCAACGTTGGAAAAATTTTTTATTCAATTTTCATTCAACATTTTGTTTTTATTTATGTTAAACAACAGGTCCAAAAGGTTTTCCCGGCAAAGGTGTGAGAATTCGAGGTCCAGCCGGTGAGCCAGGTCTTCCTGGCACACCAGGACGTCCTGGACCCGACGGTTGGCCGGGTGTACCAGGGCCAAGAGGTGCCAAAGGTATTCGCGGAGATGACTGTGGAGTGTGCGCTCCAGGTGAGATTGAGAAATTAAGCGGTATTGATTATGTGCCTCTACCTATGTAAGGTGGTCCACCAATTTCCTCCATTCTAGTATACTACATGGCCTACTTCCGTAATCCTATATCCATACCCAAGCTGTATGACTAAATAATTGAACCCGAATCAATTATTCATATTGAGTAAATCTTGGGGTCAGGGAACAGTGTGCAAGCCGAGTTATCGTCTTATTAATTATTTCTTTACTGTGAACTCCCCCCAATTATCATGCATTCTTGATTGTTCACAAATCATCCATTGTTAGATTTTTTTAAATTGACTCCCACATTTCTGTTTTTTATTCTATTTCAGGGAAAATTCTTTATTTACTTTCTTAATTATTGGAGTTAAATTTCACAGGGAAAATCATTTCATTAATAAAATATTGTGACAGTCAATTTTAATTATTTGTTGTTGAAGATTTCAAGGGATTCACTTGAAATTTTATGTCATATCTCATCAGTCAACTATTTTAAATTGATCATCGTTTCATTTCTCTATTCGTCACCTATTCCTCCCTTTTATTGCGATGCATTCTTGATTATTCACAAATTCTTCGTTGTTATATTTTTTCTAATTGAATCTCACATTTTTGTTTTGAATTTAATTTAAGAGGATGTTTTTATTTAATTTTTTAATGATCTCGAAAATTAAAAAAAAAGTGTTTTCTTTACGTTCAATTTGAAATAAATTTGAAATTCATTATGCATATTCTTAGTCAATATTCCATTAAATTTTTACAATTTTCATTGAATTTCACACAAAAAAATTATTTCAAAGCGCATTTTATTTCATTGCTATCGAATATTTCAGGAGATTTTACTTCAAATTTAAAATCAAATTTCATTTCACTATAGAATTTAATAGAAAATCCAAACTATTTCATTAAAACATTAGTAGAATTTAAACTTTCTACACAACATCTTAATGAGACATTTCTACAAGAATTCCTGGACATGAATTTTTCAAGCTATTTACACTCTATTTTTTCTCTTTTCATTTAAAAAAATCAGGCAATAAACTTGGAAAATAGTAGTCGAAGAATTTTCTGTAGAAGATATCTCAATAGAATAACGAAATATCTAGAAAATCGAATTCTAGTGATTTTTTTTCTATAGAATATTCTTCATTGAACATTTCTATTGAAAAAAGGGCAGACAAGTTGCGGAACTTTCAGCAAAATCAGTCAAAAACTAATTGTCCAACGAATTCACTAGTTTTTTTCATACGCAATTGCAATTTTCTCGTGCGTGAATTTCTCCACTCATACGCCTATTCACGCCCAATAATTTTCAAATCGAATATCCAAAAGCCGAGCCCAATTGCAAGCACTAAAATCCGATTTTACGAATCCGAGGAGATGAGGGAAATGAAATTTTTCCGGACGAGAAAATAATACAACTCGTAGGAACCATAAAAAAAATTATGGATCATATTTCACATCTTCACCCCTGAGAGAGGCAAAAAGTGGGGATGAAGAAAAGCTGGTATCATCTGCAGGTGTAGAAATACAGATATGAGAACGTGAATTTTATTCCCAACGATATTTTTATCGAGATATACGATGTATCAATGCAATGCACAGAATTTTCATGAGCCTCGTGATTAAATTTTTTATCAGTATTTCTCGATTGGCAATGTGCAGTTATACTTGATAGACAGTGATCATAAATCCACAATTTCTCTGGCTATAAGTTTGGGAACAGTGGCTGTGAGGTGTAGATGTAGACAGGGCACTTAACTCAAAGTTTTGAAGGCTGCGGAGTAACTCGGGAGGCAATAGTATGAAGTTCAAGATGATTTTGGGCGGATACCAAACAACTATCCGAGGAGTATGTACGTTACTTGATGCCTTCAGAACTCGTGTAGTTGGTAGCCTTAGAAATTATTCTAGAGAGAAAACTATTTCTGATTCGATTTGATCGTTTGTTCAAAATTCCATGCTTTGCGTTTTCTGATCAATCAGAAAAAAATTCAACTCTTGCAATTGTTTATTCATTCGCTTCGCAGAAGGAGTATTTTTTTCTTAATCGAAATAAAAACTGTTACCACTTCCGTGATGGTCTCACATGAACAGGAGATACTCCAAGTAGAGGAGTGGCTCCGTATCTACTGAAATTTTGGTCAGACATGAAAATTTGAGTTTCTTGATGTATGTTTCTCCGAATAAAAAAAAATATAGAAGAATACGAATTCTATCAATGAGTAGTCAATGAGTATTCATTCAAAATCGAATTGGAAATGAGAAATTTGGGAATGAAATTATGAGATAATGAAGATATTTGTTGATTATGCGATTATTAAATCGTCGAAATAAAATCGATCATATCCCAGCTCTCAGGATTATTCATTCACTTCGCAGAAGGAGTACTTTTCATAAGTCGAGAGTAAAACTATTGTTATTGAACTTCTTTGGTGATCTCATAGAGACAGTAGATACTCCCAGTAGAGGAATGGCTCCGCATCTACTGAAATTTTGATCAGACACGAAAATTTCGGCTTCTCGGTGCTTTTTTCTCTGAATGAAAAAAAAATAGAAGAATATGAATTCTATCAATGAGTAGTATTCATCCAAAATAGAATTGGAAAGTAAATTTAGGAATGAAATTATGAAGCAACGAAAAGATTTGTTGATTATGGGAGTTTTTTCCTTCTGTAGCTAGAGGAATATTAAATCGATTATATCTCAAGTCTCGTTCATTAACTTCGCAGAAGGAGTATTTTTTCGTTAATCGAAATTGAAACTATTATTATATCCGCGATGATCTCACGGGGACAGTAGATACGCCAAAAAGAGGAATGATTCCGTATCTACTGAAATTTTGGTCAGACGCGAAATTTTGGGTTCCCTCATGTTTTTTTTTCATGAATAAACAATAAAATGAACAAATAAATTATAAAAAAATAGAATTCTAACCGTTCCATCAGCGGAATTTAACTGAAAATGTCTCAGCTCTTTAATATTAAATTGACTCCAAGTGAAGGAATGGTTCCGTATCTACTGAAATTTTGGTCAGACACGAAATTTTGGGTTCCCTCATGTTTTTTTCATGAATAAACAATAAAATGAACAAATAAATTATAAAAAAATAGAATTCTAACCGTTCCATCAGCGGAATTTAACTGAAAATGTCTCAGCTCTTTAATATTAAATTTACTCCAAGTGAAGGAATGGTTCCGTATCTACTGAAATTTTGGTCAGACACGAAATTTTGGGTTCCCTCATGTTTTTTTTTCATGAATAAACAATAAAATGAACAAATAAATTATAGAAGAATAGAATCCTAACTGTTCCATCAGCGGAATTAAGATAAAAATATCTCAACTCTTCAATATTTAATTTACTCCAAGTGGAGGAATGGTTCCGCATCTACTGAAATTTTGGTCAGCCACGAAAATTTGGGCTTCGTCATATTGTATTTTTTGAATAAACAAAAAATAAACAAATAACTTATAGAAAAATAGAATTCTAACCGTTCCATCAGCGGAATTAAATAAAAAATATCTCAACTCTTCCATATTTAATTTACTCCAAGCGGCGTAATGATTCCGTATCTACTGAAATTTTGGTCAGACACGAAAATTTAGGTTTCCTCATGCTTTTTCCCGTGAATAAAAGAAACAAAATTGAAAATAAAACAAATTATAAGTAAAGTCATCGAACGATCGAAATGTTAGTTGATTATGCGATTATGTTCCTCCCACAGCTGGAAGAATTTTTAATCAGAAATCCGTCAGGATAATGACTCCTGAAATCGTCGATGAGCAAGATAAGTCTAAAATTGAAACTATTCCATCACTTCTCCTGAACTCAATTTATAAGAGCAGATCCATCACTCCACGTCTCGCAGATTTCATGCATCCTTTACCTACAGGGATAATTGCATCCATCAGACTTCTCACTTAGAATTTTATCAAATAATTATTCTAGACTTTCGACTATCGATGACGCCATACGTGAAACTAAACTGTTGAAAAATTTTAACTGAAATTTTCGATGTTTGTTTTAGAAATTTTTATTGCATTTCAGTTCCACCAAAATTTGAATGAATTTCACCATTTAAAATTCAGAATTTCATTTAAAAATCGATGAGAACTATAAATTTCAATTCAATTATTCCGTGAAAATTGATAGCAATCAGTAAAATTCCAGTAAATATATTCTTGAATTTGCAATTAATTGAAAATTCACTATAATTTGACACTGAATATTCATTTTTTCATTGAAAATGCAAATACGTTGGGGAATTCTCGTCCTAAGGTCGCTCCAAAATTTTACAATTTCAATGAATTTTCAGTGGAATCAGAAATTTTATAATTTTTTCCTCGTAAATCGCATTCAATGTCATCGTCTTGAAATTTACCAGTCAACTCTCCATGAAATTAAAATTTTTTTCCTTCAAAATAAAAAAAAATTTGTTTCTAAAAGAATTTTGCCATTGAAAATTCAAAATACCACGGAAAAATCAATGAGAACTATAAATATCAGCTCAGTTATTCCCTGAAAATTGATAAAAATCAGTAAAATTCCAGTAAATATGTTCTTCAATTTTCAATTAATTGAAAACTCACTGTAATTTGACACAGAATATTCATGTTTTCATTGAAAATTCAAATACATTGATGAATTTTCGCCTTAAGACTCCTCAAAATTTTAGAATTTCACAGAATTTTCAGTGAAATCTAAAATTCCATGATTTTTTTCCCTAAATCGCATTTAATATCACTCTCTTGAAAATTACCAATCAACGGTCCATGAAATTTAAATTTTGTCTTAACAGTGCACTCCATCATGCTCCATATCAAACCCTTCACAGCAATTTCACCACCAAAAATATCTGCTCCACCAAAACCGATCCAATCAATCATTCACATTAATCATAAAAATTCTCCCTCTCCCTCAAAAATGATTTATTAACCCCAAGTGAAAGACAGCTTCCTCATTACTCGAAGCATTCTTTCAATAAACTCGAAAATTTTATGTTTCCCCAGGCTTTCTTTCCTGGCTAAAAAATTCCATTCAAGAGCATAAACTCCTGCAATGGATAGCCTTCCCCGAGGGAATTGGCGAAAAGAACTTACGATTGAATGAATGTTTTAACAGGTTTGCCTGGTGCTAAAGGAGAACGGGGTGACTCGGGTCTGAATGGATTCCCCGGTGCCCCAGGATATTCTGGATTACCTGGACCCCGAGGCTTTAAAGGAGCATACGGGGTACCTGGTAGCATGGGGCCAATGGGTCTTGAGGGAGAGAGTGGTAGACCGGGTATCGCTGGTTCTCAGGGGCCCAAAGGACAAGCAGGACGCATTGTTCCACCCCCTGGTCCTGCCAGAGTTGCACCACCAGGTGATGTCGGTGACAAAGGTTTCCCCGGGTTCGAGGGTCTCCGTGGGCCGCGTGGTCCACCCGGTGAAATCGGAGACACAGGGCCTGAAGGTCCTAAAGGAGAAAAAGTAATTTTCCATCCAATCTTCTCCGTTTAAAGTAGCTCTACCCTTCGGCCGGGCTACGCTGTACTTTTAGATATTTTAATTTTTTTAATTTTTTAACTAAATTGCATGGAAAAAATTTGAAAAAATTTATACCCAGTCAGAATTTCGCAAAATATTGATATTTTTTCAAACATTTCCCTCTTATAAATAAATAATAAAACTTGTTTGCGAAACTGTGGATTATTTTTTATGAGGTGTCAAAAAAATTCTTGATTTTTTCGCATCTAATGAAAAAAAAATCAGATTTTTATCTTTGATTACAATGGAAATGTTGATTTTCACATAAGACACTGCGTTAAATCCTGATTTTTAAACATTTCTTTTTTGAAAAACCAAAACGATAATTAAATTGAGAAAAAAAATAGAATTCCGAACCTAATCGGGTTTTCTGCAATTTTTTGCAGTTTTCAATAATCTTTGAATTTACCGTGGAAATGAACGTCGTGGAAAATTTAAAAGTCTTCACTGGCCCGTGGGATCCATTGAACAGTTTGTGATATAGACGGAATATGGGAATAACTAGGGGAAATCGCCGCCCCGATCGATTTTGCCCCGTAGAAACATGAAAAACTTCATTTTTCTTGTTTTCATCTCCAAAATGTTCCTTGCCCTGGAGTTTTCATATGATTTTAGCTGTTTTTTTTCATGTTCGTTGCACTCGAAAAAAATAAAGTTAAGCATCCGGTTTACTTTGTTCACAATAGATCATGAATAAATGAATTTTGAATTTCATAAGATTTTCGCGTCTGTACACTGTTAGAAATTTTTTTAAATTTCGGTCACAATGTCATTAGAATTTTCAATGCTGTGAGTTTGAATGCAATTTCAAATGAAAGCGTTCACTAAATTTCTCATTCATCTTGAAAATTGAACATCACATAGAATTTGATTATCAATAAATTGAAAATTCAGAGAAGTTATTACTTTAATTTTCAAAATTTTCATGGTTTTTCAATGGCTTATGGACGTGAACATGGAGAATTACTTGAATATTCCAGAAATTCACTGATTCATCAATGAAGAATTCTTCAGAAATTTCATGTAACTTTGTCATTGTTAATAATTTCAAGCTTTTTCACTTGAAATTTTAACAGTAATTTTTGAACAGTGTAGAGTAGGACTAAAAATTAATTGTTTTTACTAATCAAACATTGTAATCATGCGTAATCTAATTTTTATGAACAAAAAAAGGCAGGTTGAAGCAAAAAGGCGAGTTCCAAAGAAAATCGATTATTAAAAACAATGAATTTTTAGTTCTACTCTACAGGCGAAAAATTTATAAAATTCAAAATTTATTTTTTCATAATCAATTGCAAATAAAGCAAAACGGATTTAAATTTCGCCGACGTATCCCCTTAAACTTCATTCTGATGCAATCATCAATGATTTTGCGCTTTTCTTCAGGGAGATTTTGGTGCACCTGGAGTCACGGGAGTCGATGGTAGACCCGGATGGGATGGACTAGCTGGAGAGAAAGGAGATGACGCTGATGTGCCGATAGAGTTTCTTCGGGGGGATCCTGGCGTCGATGGAATACCTGGGGTGAAGGGGGTTCGGGGAGACAAGGGATGGCCCGGCGAAGTGGGGGAAGCTGCTTCTCACGTTATTACTGATATCAAGGGGAATAAGGGAACTAAAGGAGAATCTGGAGCGCCTGGTGAGTCGAAAATCTAATTCTTATTTATATATGTCCTAAAATATCGTTTTTATGTGCGAGTTAATATCACCCCCCACCCCCATTCATACAAATATTCGCATGAAATATTCGTTAGTGATAACTAATCTCAAGTCACTGAACATCATCAGTAAAATGCTGATCGATCAACATGTGTTGAAATCATTTCATTTTCTTATGCGAAATATTTTCGTAATTGGAACACGGGAGTTAGTTACTGGAAGAAGAAAAATATAATTTGGTCGCTCGAAATAGTCAACTGGAAACATCTACTTGGATAGTACTTGATGAAAATCATTCATATTTTAGCGTCAGATTGAATTACCGCATTTTCCATCTCATTTCTAATGTTTATGTTCATGATTCTTACATATATTCGTCTATGAACCCCATAAGCGTCGTTATTCCAAGGCGTCACGAAAAATCTCCTCTACTTGGGAGATTATTTTTTATTATATATAGAGATATAAAAAGCAATATTGATATGGGGATGATAACAGCCCACACAAGTCTCTTTAGGAAATGTCATTTGAGATGGAAATATAATTTATATTGTTCGTTATTATTTTCATTCATTTCAATTAATGAAATTGTTCTTCATCTTCATAGTTTTGTATCAAGGAAGTAGGATCATGGGAAATGTGGAGAAAACAATAAACTATACTAGATTATTGTCAATTATGCAACGTTTCGCTTATATTTTAAGCTTTCTCAAGCTTCTTAATGATGAGTACATAGTCATATTACTTTCTAAAATATTTCATGTTGGGAACTCTAAACACATTATTAAGTTCATAAAATATTCAATATCTGGCACGCCAGACTATCAACAGACTGGCATTTGCCCCTCACTCTGGTTATACTCATTTCAATGAAACCTTCCAGGTTACGATGGATTCCAAGGTTTTCAAGGACCGCAAGGAGATGAGGGTTGGCCTGGGCCACCTGGGCCTCAGGGATCCCCCGGATTTTCTCTGCAAGGTGCAAGTGGTCTAAAGGGATACGCCGGCATGCCCGGAGATGAAGGCCCTCGTGGTATTGCTGGTGAACCTGGAAAGCGAGGTCCACAGGGACTTCTGGTATGTCATCGTTATTTGTGGTTTACACGATCGGTGGATGGAGTTTGGGCTTGAGGTTGAGAAACTTGAGAATTGAATGAATAATTTGGTCCACATGATCAGGGAACAGGTATTGAGTTCAAAAAAAGGCGCGACTCAAGATTCAACTCGTTTGAGCTGTCTTGAGTAAATTTAAGCTGTAGTTTTATTGAGTTGACTTGAGCTTCAAACTTTCAAAAGTTACAAATTATGTGTGATCTTTACCATGAATGGATACAGTTTGCGCTAGTCTGAGTCATCTTGAGCTAGTTTCAGTGAACTCGAGCCATGACTTTATTGAGATTGAGCTTTATTGAGCTTGAGCTTGAGCTCTAAACATCCAGAAGTTATGATTGATTTGCAATCGACTTGATGGATGGAGTTTGAACTTGAGTTAATCTGGCATTTCTTGAGTCACCTGGAGCCACCTTGAGCTTGAACTAGTTCAAACGACCTTCGGAAAATTGAAGCCATAACTTTCTTGAGGTTGAAATTTTCAAAGTTATAATTGATGCGCAGTCTACCTCATGGATGAAGTTTAAGCCTAAACTTGAGGGAATCTGAGCTAGTCTTGAGTAAACTGAAGCTACAACTTAAACTTGAAACTCTCAGAAGTTTTTTAAATTTCAAATTGAATAAAGCGACAATTCACACATTGAATGCATAAAGCTTAACATATTGTCCTCCCGTACTTGAAAATAGGGACCGCCAGGAGTGAAAGGAGAGCGCGGAGACATCGGAACGAATCTGATATACGGAGAGATTGGTGAACGTGGACTTTACGGCCAGAAAGGAGAGTACGGTTTTGAGGGTCCTGCTGGTCCGCGTGGAAGACCTGGTGTTGACGGTCCGAAGGGTGTCAGGGGGGCTAAAGGAGCCCCTGGGTTTGAAGGATTACCAGGACTTCAGGTATGCGACAGAAATTTCGATGACAACGCTTCATTTTCGCATCGATCAACAAAATCAAGTTTTATTTTTTGGTCATAACAGGGAGCTAAAGGTGTCCGAGGAGACAGCATTCAAGGACCTCGTGGTTTCCCAGGTGCTCCAGGTTTACCCGGAGGGATTGGAATGCGGGGCAACGTGGGAATGACAGGTCCAGACGGTATTTCAGGTTTCGATGGGATGAAGGGTCTGAAAGGAGAGATTGGGTTCCATGGGCGTCAGGGGGAGGATGGGGACATGGGAATTCAAGGTTACCCAGGTATGGAGGGAATTCCTGGGGCTCCTGGTAAGCAAGGAGAAGACGGGGACATTGGAGTCATCGGAGATTCTGGACAGCCAGGGTGGATCGGAGAGGATGGATCACCGGGGGCTGTGGGACAGAAGGGAGAGCTGGGAGAGCCTGGGAGTCCGGGATTCCCAGGTATCCAAGGACCTGTGGGGTTACCGGGGATGGTCGGAGATATTGGATATGATGGGCCTGATGGGGAGAGGGGGGAGAATGCGTTCAGTGGGCCTCAGGGAGATCTGGGTGAGCCTGGGTTCATGGGGGCCATTGGAGCTCCTGGGGCACCTGGGGTTGATGGACGGCCTGGGTTACCTGGGGATAATGGGGTGGATGCAGTGGGATATAATGGATCACCTGGACCCAAGGGAGAACCTGGGTGGAATGGATTGCATGGAAGACCTGGACCAAAGGTAAATGAGCTGTTTTACACAATTTATTTGTTTTTTTGTTGAAATTCTCAAAATAAGTGTGAGAGTGTTGCATTTTTGTCTTTGATATTTCATCAAAAATAATTGCATGGAATAAAATTTCAGAAATTACTTGACCCAGAGATTCAATAATGATTCGAATGGGCGGCCGGAGTTTTTTTCCCATTGAAAAATTCCCGGAAATTTTTTTCCGTCAATTTGACTTCGGCGAATTCTTCCTTTTGAAATTAATTTTCCTTACTAATTTTTTCCATGTGAGATTTTGCTTAAAGTTTTTTTAATGCTAATTGAATTTCTTTTTTTTTCTCTTAGAAGGGAAAAATAAAAAAGTTAATGACAAAATGTATTTTTTTTATTCGGGCATGCTGATATGTAAATTTTAAATTGAATCGGATTTAATTTTTCATCAGATCAGTGGAGTTGTATTATATTCAGTAAAAATGAATTGATATTGTGTTCAACTATGTGTCTCATTTAATATTTTCTTGGGAAAAATTTTCCGGGGAATTTTTCATAGGAGAAAAAATCCGGAAACAATTCGAATGAATCATCTTTTTATAAGAAGCTTGTTAAATCCATTATAAAGTGATTGCATTTTTTCAAAATTGGAAAAATGAAAAAAAAAATTATTTTCTTAAAAAATCTACAGGGTGACGTCAGCACCTTGTTTACAAATTTCAGGGAGATATAGAATACAAAATTGGGAATTGAATAATAAAAAATTACTAAATTCCGATAATAGACTTTCAAATGGTGAACATTATTCTTTCTTTGGTGAACATTAGAATTTTTCAATCCTTTAGCCAATTACATTGCGATTGACTACCGCCATGATTGAAAACGATGACGCAGTTATCAATGGGACTTGTTATGATAGTTAACATGGCTCTTCATGTTGATAAAATTATCGGTTCATAGCTGCAATGGACATTGCTCAAACTATCGCCATATTGTCGCATCATCGCCATTTTCAATCATGGCGGCATGGCGGGAGCCCACCACGATGTTCAAAAACCTCTATTCAAAAATTTATTATCGTAATTTCATAATTCTTATGCCATTGAATTACCCATTTTCTGTTCTATATTTCCTCACAATTTGTAAACAAGGTGTAAACGACACTTTGTATATTATTTACAATTCAGTAGCGAAATGGTAAAACGATTTCAGTCGATTTTGACGATTGGTCATTTTTCATCAGTGAATATTTCGGAATCTAAGAGGGATAAGTAAATTTTTGTCAAGACCTTTTTTGTAGCACTCAATTCGCTCTAGAAAAAAGGTTATTACGAAAATTTCGCCATCTCCTTTAGATTCGGAGATATTCTTCAAAAACTCAATTAAGAGATAAGTTGACTTAAACCGTTTTACCACTTCACTACTGAATTAAATATTTTCTTTCTGGAAAGGGTGAAATTGGTGACATGGGACCGGACGGATTCAAAGGAGAAATTGGAGATAGTGGAGCTCAGGGAAGACCTGGAACTCCAGGAATCAATGGAAGACCTGGTACGAAGGGTGAACGAGGACCAGTGGGACCGATCGGTCTGGACGGAGTGAAAGGGCAACGCGGTCTCGATGGAGATCCTGGCTTTATGGGAGCACCAGGCATGCCTGGTGACGCTGGCCCTCGTGGAAGACCTGGTCTGTCTGGTGTGCCCGGACCGAAGGGAATCGTTGGTGACCCTGGGTTACCTTCGTACATGGATGCTGACAAGGGAGAGAGAGGTGACCAAGGATTCCATGGGCTGCACGGAAGGAAGGGAGAACAGGGAGATGTTGGGTTGCGGGGATACCCTGGAGCTAGGGTAAATTTTATTCATTTTTGTCAATAATTTTTCTTGTTAATCAATATTCATTTTGTTCGGGAAGAATTAATGAAGTAGGAAAGTTGGGAAGAATGATCGTATGGATTTTGTGTTAATATTTCGTTTCGACTCTGGCAGGGAATGCGTGGAGACATTGGTTATCCTGGTCCAGACGGTTTTGAAGGCCTACCTGGACTGCCAGGTCTTCCTGGTGACGTGGGATTCCCTGGACTCCCAGGTAATATTTTTACAAACAGAAAATGAGAAGAAGGGTTTTAATGAATAATGATTTTGAGGGATTTTATCAATGATTTCCAAGGACATGGTCCTGAATATCAGACAGAAATCGTGAATCTTACGAGTTTTGTCCCTACATTTCACCGAATTCGCTAATTCCAGTCACTGTCATGAATCCCTGAAAACAGAAATAGATTTCTGAAATTCAGGGACACATCACGCATGAAAATATTTAATAGCAAAACTTAGCGCTTTTTGTAAGAAATTCTGTTGAATTCCGATTGCAACTTTTTGAGAATTTTCTTGAAGTTTTATTAGAATTTTATTAAAAAATTCTATTTGTTTTTTACGCTATTTCTATAGGAGCTTATGCAACCTTACGGTGTCATTTTTTTAAAGAGATATTTGATGAAAAAAGTGAGTGGATTTTTATTTTTCTGTAGAAAATTTGGGGGGATAAATTTTCGAAGTTTTTCAGTTGTATTTTTATTTTTTCCTATAATAAAATCCAAGAAAAAAAACCAACAGGATGAGTGATACAGAAAATATTAATATCTATAAACAAATATCTGTTTAAAAATCTGTTGTCTAATTTTTTATAAAATTAGGGCAAAAAACAGACCGAATCGTTCAAAAGAATTCTAATCAAACGTCAATAGAATTCTGATAGAGTTTCAATATAAATTCAATAGAATTTTTTAAACAAAGCTAGGTTTTTCTATTAAATTTTAGCATACGTGATCCCCGAACGTTTCGTCCTTTGTGTACGTGGATAATTTCTATGTTATATATGGCTTAATTCTGTGTTCAGGCCCTCCTGGTCAAAATCCTCAACGCGGTGAGCCAGGTCTGCCAGGACTGGATGGTCGACCAGGTATTCCTGGACGACCAGGGCAGAAGGGAGCTCCTGGTGAATATGGGCCTGACGGTCCAAAAGGTATCGAAGGAGAGCCAGGACGGAGTATTCCAGGGGCAAAGGGTCTTCCTGGAGATTTAGGCAAGTATCTTATTTTTTCTGGAATGAAATGGTTTTTCCTCATCGTCAGTCAGAAATTTCAAGTTTTCTTCATTGACTTTATCTTCATTCATACGTTTGGTGTTAATGAACAGGACCCAGAGGATATGAAGGTCGCCCTGGAGCACCAGGATTGCGAGGACTCGATGGATTCCCCGGAGCTCCCGGTCTCAAAGGTTACCGGGGAGAGCCTGGATATGCTCAGTACGGTCGCAAAGGGGAGGAGGGTGATGTCGGTTTCCAAGGGTCCGATGGCAGGCATGGATTCAAGGGCGAGAGGGGTGACTCTGGTATTCCGGGAGCCCCAGGCTTCCCGGGTTTGAAGGGAGAACGAGGAGAAATGGGAGAGTCCGGCCCCATCGGTTTGCCAGGACCTGATGGACCCCAGGTAAAGAAAATTCGACAAAAATTGTTAACATTCTCTCTGACGACTCTATCCTCCACAAAAAGTTCCACAAAAAAATCATATAATTTATCATGCATACAATCATAATTTTTGAAGACTCCAGGGCTATGCAATCCAAATTGGCAATTGGAGAACGTCTCATATTATCGAAATTAAAAAAAAAAACAGACAAGATCACGTTCAAAACATAATACACGTGAGCCTTAATTAAAAAAACAGAGCGAGAAGATTACACACACGAAAAATTTCATATAAAAACTTAGTGAATTGGATAAAAAATTCTATTTGATTTTTATAGAACTTCTACTGGAAATTCTACTAGTTATTGGCCGATTCTACTGACGAATTCGGCAGCTAAAAAAACAATTCTGTAAAAAAAATCGGCAGAATTCCATTTTTATCATAAATTTTCAAGTTTTCTCCTCCCTTTCAGAAAATGAAACCCAAAAAACTTGAAAAATTAGAGCTAAGGAATTTCCATAGAAGATATTTTCATAGAATAAGGTGAATAGAAAAATTGGATTCAATTGATTTTTTTATAGAATATTTCCCATCGAACATTTCTGATTAAAAAAAACACGCAAATAAGCTGCGGAATTTTGTTAAGAAAATCGACTAAAAATTGACACAAGCTTCAATTAAAATCTAACACAATTTTCTAGCGAATCACTAGGTTTTTTACCTACTGTTTTTTTTTAATTTCACCTCCTCTAGATCAAAACTCCTAAGTAATGCAATATTTTCACAAAAATAGGGACCCAAAGGAGATCACGGTACCAGTCCCTACCCACTGTTCCCCAGGAAAGGACTTCAAGGAGATGTGGGATTCCCAGGCTTGAGTGGTAAACTATCTCCCTCTCGTTTCTCCCCTAATTACCCCGGAGGGAATGTTTTGTTTCACTTCTTTTTTCCCTCATTAAGGAATACCTGGAGCTCCGGGGATGATGGGAATGCCAGGATTGGACGGTCTGCCAGGACTCGAGGGTGAGCGCGGAGTGGATGGACTCCCAGGGTTCCCAGGACCCGATGGTGATAACGGATCCCCAGGCCCTCAAGGCCCACGTGGGGCCATTGGTTACCAAGGAGCTCCTGGATTCCAAGGGCCTAGGGGAGAGGACGCACCACCAGGACCAGGGCCCAGAAGTCGTGGATTCCACTTTGCCAGGCATTCCCAGTCGGAAATGATTCCCCTTTGTCCGCGAGGAGCTGTCAAAATGTGGGATGGGTTCTCATTACTTCATATTATGGGTAATTCACACCCATGGGCACAGGATCTTGGTAAATATTTCCAACTAAATAAGCAAAATCTTATTTTATTTTTAGTAGAGTATATTTATTTTCCTTATTTATTTATTCTATTTTTAATGTAATATATTTATTTTTTTATAGTATATTCATCTAATTGAGTAATATTTTACTTTATTTTTAGTATAGTATATTTATTATATTAAAAAAAAAAGCATCGACAATATCTTGAACGAATGGGGAAAGTAGTACAATCGTCTTGCGTCGAATTTTAATGAAGGCCGCTTAACAAACAAAGAGAATTGAATACCATTTTATGAAATATGCAGAAATGAATCATAATTGTGCAAATTATTTAGGTCAAAGGAAAATCGAATAATTCAGTAGCGAAGTGATAAAACGGTTCAAGTCGATTTTGACCATTTGCCAGTTTTCAATGAAATGAAATGAATACCAAATTTTTGGACAAGGCCTTTTCTATAGCACTTAATTCGCTCTACAAAAAATCTCAACTGAATAATAAATAAATAACACTATCATTTTGGGGAGAAAATTGAATTGTTAATTCTCTCATTGCAGGACAACCTGGAAGTTGTGTAAAAAAATTCTCAGTGATGCCTTTCCTATTCTGCAATCTGAATAATGTCTGCGATTATGCCCAGAGGAATGACTACAGCTACTGGTTGAGTTCGACAGAGCCAATGCCAATGATGATGACACCAATTCCAGCACCAGAGGCTGGAAGGTACATCTCTAGGTGCTCCGTGTGTGAAGCACCGACGAGAATGATTGCGGTGCACAGTCAGTCGATGCAGATTCCAGAGTGCCCTGGTGGATGGGAAGAAGCTTGGATCGGTTACAGCTTCCTCATGGTAAGGTTTTGAATTAATTTCTTCTTCCTAACACGTATTAAAAGATGCCATACACTGAGAGAAAAACAAACACGTTGTCAAACAAGTCTTGTTTGACCCAACAAAATCGCTAGTTGAAAATTGCCAAAAAAGAATTTGTTTGGTTCGAATTTGAAAGTCTCAAACATGAATAATTGTTCTGCTTTCGACAGCAACGAAATATTTGGCTCAAGAGGCGGATAATTCACACCAGACTGTGCCTTTTCAGGATAAAAATATCTCATATAGAGGAAAATTTGTCAACAAATATTTTATCCCTCAGTTACGAGATTGCTATCATATCATTATTATTGTTTCATTTTAGGGTTCATTTGTTGTCTGTGATTATTAGACAGCCGAAACGAAAAACTATTATTCCTTGTTTCGCATAAAACAAAGATTTTTTGAGAGCAAAATAGGTATGGGAGTATCGAATAACGAAGGAGTAGTGCTAGAAATGTCAAACTGAAAATTCGCATTCCTTCTCTCCACAAAATTTTCAAATTCAGAGTGCAATAAAACTTCAAAGCCAAAAGGTCCCTTGTTTCGCCCCTATTATTCACGACTGTTGAAGTTTTCATTACAACTTCCCAGTTCAGAAACAGATTTAATACCCGAGTTTTACGTAGAACGAGTTGAAATAGCCGTAAATGTCAACATGTCCGCGCACGTTCAAAAATACTGCAATTACTGCCAACCCATCGGTTATAGAGATCTATAATTTTTCTTCGAAATTACATAGTATCCAGTTAAATTTGTAGGTAAACCTGTGACACCAGTGCTGTCGTCTCCGACCTACCGGTATTTTAAAAATAGTTCTTAGACATTTGAGATACTAATGGAGGGATCCAAATTACATTAACACAGGAATATCCTTCAATGGAGGGGCTATAGATACGAACGTTGATCGATATAATGACTGGTCCACAGGGATGTATTTATTCTAAGGGGAATGGTCTACCCCATTTGAGGATATTCAAGCCGTTCGGGCAATTTTTTCTGGGTGAAATCCTCTTCAGAGTTTATAGAACACGTATGAAAAATTCAATAGAAAAGCTAGCTAATTTGCTAGGAAATTCTGTTGGAATTCGATGAAGTTTCCGTAGGATTTCTAGTGAAATTCTATTGAAAAATTCTGTTTATTTTTTGCGCTGATTCTATTGGATATTCGATAAGTGAAAGTCAACAGATTTCCAAATTCTGTTTTAATTTCTCTTCAGAGATTTTTTCTATAAGAATCATTGGACATCAATTTTCCAAGTTGTTTCTACTCGGATTCTGTAATGCAAAATAAAACAAAATCCAGCGGAAAAAACTTAGAAAATTTGTGGCCAGTAATTCTAATAGAAAACGTCGCAAAAGAAAAATTCGAACAGAAATTTAAAATATATTGACTTTCTCATTCAAAACAAGTAAAACTTTTCAATAGAATTCCACTAGAAATCCTATAGACTTCTAATAGAATTTTCTAGCGAATTCGCTAGGTTTTATATTGAATTTTTTCATGCGTGAATCGACTAAGACTATTTTTCAGGCGAAATGTCAACCCTAGATGTTTTAAAAAACATTTATGGACGCAAAAATTATCCTCTGGTACAGTAAAATTTTTTTACTAGGATAATTCGTGGTGGAATGCAGGACAAATTTTACAGTTTTCAAATTACCTTCTCGTTCAGTTTCGGCAATATCATACAATTTTTCAGGGCCAACGGAGAAAAATTCACTACTCGTCTCTATCGCACATCTCTAATCTTTTTTAATACCAACCTTTAGTATTAAAAGAGCTAGGATCATACCAAATTTCAACTTGCTACCTCTATTTTTTCTCAAATTATCGCGCGTGCAAGATTTTTCATGAAAAAACGAAAAACCGTGTTAATGTCTCCAAACTTTCTATTAAAGTAGCTCTACCCTTCGGCCGGACTACGCTGTACTTTTGGATATTTTCAGTTTTGAAATTTTTCAACTAAATTGCACGGAAAAGATTTGAAAAAATTCATACCCAGTCAGTATTATCTAAATTAAATTTCATAAAATATTGATATTTTTTCAAACATTTCCCTCTTATAAATAAATAATAACACTTGTTTGCAAAACGGTGAATTTTTTTTTATGAGGCGTCAAAAAAATTCTTGATGTTTTCACATCTAATGGAAAAAAATTCATATTTTAATCTTTGATTACAATGGAAATGTTGATTTTCACATAAGACACTGGGTTAAATCCTGATTTTTAAACGTTTCTTCTTTGAAAGACCAAAACGATAATTAAATTGAGAAAAAAATTAGAATTCCGAATCTAATCGAGTTTTCTGCAATGTTTTTGCAGTTTTCAATAATCTTTGAATTTACCGTAAGGGTAGAGCTACTTGAAACATGAAAAAATAAAAAAAATAAAGAAGGCGGAAGGCGCCGTTTGTAATTAATTCTCTCAACGAAGCTTAAACCACCTGAAACATCAAATTATTCTCATCTAATTATCCTCCACCCCCATTTCAGCATCGCGACGCAGGTGCAGCAGGCGGTGGCCAATCGCTAATATCTCCAGGCTCATGCCTCGAGGAATTCCGCACTCGCCCGTTCATTGAGTGTCGTGGTCTCGGTACATGCAACTACTTCTCCACCGCAATCTCCTACTGGCTTGCAACCATTGAGGATCACGAGATGTTCCGTAAGCCACAGCCTCAAACCCTAAAAGCCGATCACACGTCACGAGTCAGCAGATGTGCCGTATGCATACGACGTCAAGTAACTGAGACCTATGGCAACAGGCTGAGCCCCTTCACCGCCAATGGATCGCGCTACATTCCACCGGTACCAGTCAATCCACAGCCCGTTCAAACTGTTCCAGAATGGCAGCGGCGCCGGCCGCCGGGGGGTAGGGTCAGAGTTCCCGGGGGGCGCGTACCCCAGAATCAACGGAGAAGAGGTCGGGTTCGTAGGCCTGTCCAGGCCAACAATTCTAGCCAAAGTTCTTTAGCGAGAGCAGCATGATTTAGACGGGGGAAACTATAATCCGAAATTCTTCAAATCATCGTCGATTCGTTTTTCTAAAGAAGAAATCACACGTGAAAAAATTCTATGGAAAAAGTTCGGTTGATTTTCTGTGGAAATTGTATTGAAAATTGTATTTGTTGTGCAATTGTGAGTTTTTCAATAGATATTTTTGGATTGGAAAAAGTTTATTGATGTTGATGGGGATGAATTGTCACGTTTTCTGGGATTTTGTAATGAGAAAGAAAAAAATGATGCAGTGAAAAAAGAATAGAAAATTCATATCTAATTTCGATCAAAAGAATCTAAAGAGAGTAGTTGTTGTAGAAACATTAAGATGGATTGACTTTTCTTGCATGAAATATCTATTACAATCACATAAAAAATTTGCATAATTTGCAATACAAAACAGTGCAGAAGTGAGTGGTATTTTCTAATAGAATTTTTAGAGGGAGCACGAGGTTTTTCTATTGAATTTTTTTATATGTGAAGAAAAGAAACATTCTAAAATTTTTTTAATCATCGTCGATACGTTTTTCTAATGGAGAAATCACCTACGGAAAAATTTAATGGAAAAGTTTGATTTCTGTTGGAATTGTATTGAAAAGTCTATTTGTTGTGTAATTCTGTCGTGATTTTTCCGCTAGATATTTTTAATTAATAAAAAGTTTATTAATGTGGATGGGGATGGATTTTTTTACATATTTTCTGGGATTTTTTTATTGAGAAAAAAAAATTATACAATGAGCGAAAAAAGAATAAAAAATTGGTGTCGAAAGATTTCGATCGAAAGAACCTAAAAAGAATAGCTCCTGTAGAAACCTGATGCATTGATGTTTTTATATCAAATATTTATTACAACCACATGACAAACAGTGCGGAAACAAATGGAATTTTCTAATAGAATTTCCAGGAGCATGAGGATTTCTATTAACTTTTTTCATGCGTGAGGAGAAGAAACATTAATGTATATAAAATAATGATATTTTATCCAGTAGGTAAGTTATATCAAAAATAATTCAATCATCGCAAGTGTCTTTTCGGGACGTGCTAATCCGTGCGCTGTGCCATACAAAGAATTTTTCGACGATTTCTCGATTCATATACTGCCAAATGAGTAGGGGAAAGAGAAAATGAGGTGAGATGACGAAGCTTTCGAGTTTTTGATGAATATTGACGTAATAATGATGATAATTTAATCAATCGTAACGATGACTCATCTCATTTTGACATTTCACTACATAAATACACTCGATTGTTCCTTTTTCGAATTAACTTTACTGTAACTTTATTAAATCTAATGTATTCTATGAAATTTGAATAAAGTACTTTTGTAAAAGTGTTCAGTGACTACTTCCTTTCTGCCTATTTCTTCGATTTCTTGTGTAACTGTGTCACGAGTTTTTCAATGGATGTTTTTAGATTAGGAGAAGTTTAATGACGTTGATGGGCATGGATTTTAAATCAAGATGTACTGAATTTTTTAATCAAATATCTACTAAAACAATATTGAAAAACTGCATAATTTGCAATAGAAAACACATTAAACAAAAAACACATTAAATTTTCGAATAGAATTTCTAGAAAGAGTTTGAGGTTTTTCTATGAACTTTTTTCATGCGTGAGGAGAAGAAACATTAATTTATATAAAATAATGATATTTTATCCAGTAGGTAAGTTATATCAAAAATAATTCAATCACCGCAAGTGTCTTTTCGGGACGTGCTAATCCGTGCGCTGTGCCATACAAAGAATTTTTCGACGATTTCTCGATTCATATACTGCCAAATGAGTAGGGGAAAGAGAAAATGAGGTGAGATGACGAAGCTTTCGAGTTTTTGATGAATATTGACGTAATAATGATGATAATTTAATCAATCGTAACGATGACTCATCTCATTTTGACATTTCACTACATAAATACACTCGATTGTTCCTTTTTCGAATTAACTTTACTGTAACTTTATTAAATCTAATGTATTCTATGAAATTTGAATAAAGTACTTTTGTAAAAGTGTTCAGTGACTACTTCCTTTCTGCCTATTTCTTCGATTCCTTGTGTAACTGTGTCACGAGTTTTTCAATGGATGTTTTTAGATTGGGAGAAGTTTAATGACGTTGATGGGCATGGATTTTAAATCAAGATGTACTGAATTTTTTAATCAAATATCTACTAAAACAATATTGAAAAACTGCATAATTTGCAATAGAAAACACATTAAACAAAAAACACATTAAATTTTCGAATAGAATTTCTAGAAAGAGTTTGAGGTTTTTCTATGAACTTTTTTCATGCGTGAGGAGAAGAAACATTAATTTATATAAAATAATGATATTTTATCCAGTAGGTAAGTTATATCAAAAATAATTCAATCACCGCAAGTGTCTTTTCGGGACGTGCTAATCCGTGCGCTGTGCCATACAAAGAATTTTTCGACGATTTCTCGATTCATATACTGCCAAATGAGTAGGGGAAAGAGAAAATGAGGTGAGATGACGAAGCTTTCGAGTTTTTGATGAATATTGACGTAATAATGATGATAATTTAATCAATCGTAACGATGACTCATCTCATTTTGACATTTCACTACATAAATACACTCGATTGTTCCTTTTTCGAATTAACTTTACTGTAACTTTATTAAATCTAATGTATTCTATGAAATTTGAATAAAGTACTTTTGTAAAAGTGTTCAGTGACTACTTCCTTTCTGCCTATTTCTTCGATTTCTTGTGTAACTGTGTCACGAGTTTTTCAATGGATGTTTTTAGATTAGGAGAAGTTTAATGACGTTGATGGGCATGGATTTTAAATCAAGATGTACTGAATTTTTTAATCAAATATCTACTAAAACAATATTGAAAAACTGCATAATTTGCAGTAGAAAACACATTAAACAAAAAACATTAAATTTTCGAATAGAATTTCTAGAAAGAGTTTGAGGTTTTTCTATGAACTTTTTTCATGCGTGAGGAGAAGAAACATTAATTTATATAAAATAATGATATTTTATCCAGTAGGTAAGTTATATCAAAAATAATTCAATCACCGCAAGTGTCTTTTCGGGACGTGCTAATCCGTGCGCTGTGCCATACAAAGAATTTTTCGACGATTGCTCGATTCATATACTGCCAAATGAGTAGGGGAAAGAGGAAATGAGGTGAGATGACGAAGCTTTCGAGTTGTTGATGAATATTGACGTAATAATGATGATAATTTAATCAATCGTAACGATGACTCATCTCATTTTGACATCTCACTACATAAATACACTCGATTGTTCCTTTTTTGAATTAACTTTACTGTAACTTTATTAAATCTAATGTATTCAATGAAATTTTAATAAAGTACTTTTGTAAAAGTTATCAGTGACTACTTCCCTTCAGCGTGTTTCTCCGATTTGCAAAATGAGGTTTTCATGATTCATGGCCGATTGTAAATAACTTCTTTCAGCGGGGCGGTATAAAAGTGCATCTTAACGGACGATTTATGAGACTTATGGGGGAAATTTATTGCCCGTATTTATGTTGTATTTCTTCGCGAACAAAGTGGTACTGGTTTGATCAATAATAGAAATTGCAGGATTGAGAACTTCTGCTTTCTGTCGAAATTGAAATGTCGAAACAGGAAACGAAAATAATTGATTGAAAAATGTAGCGATTATTACAGGAAATTCTATTCAGGTTTTGATGGAACTCAATAAAAATTTTCTTGAAGTGCCATTAAAAAATTATCTGTTTTTAATCCACTTTCTATTGGAAATTAGGCCGTACGATTCTTCAAAAGATATTTAATAAGAAAAAATTCAATAGATTTTGATTTCTCCACATGAATTATGATCTGAAAATTTTTCTATAGAAATTCTGGAGCATAAATTTCTAAATTTTTTCCGCTTCTTTCTTATTTCACAAAATTAACAAAAAAACAACTTGGAAAATTTCTACCCGAGAATTCTTGTAGGAGAATTCCTAACAGAAATTATATTGAAATATCAATGTCTATCACCGTAATAGAATTTTCAACTGAATTCTAATAGAATAATATTAAAAATAGATATCTTCTCAAGAATATTTATTTTCAAAAACAGATATTCTTCAAAAATATCAATAATATTTTGAAAAAGATGATTAAAACGTAGTTGAAAATTCAAGGATTTTATTTTTCAATAACAAAACAGTTTTGGGAAAAAAAACATAATTATCGTGAAAATCATAATCACAATTGGTTGGCTGTCAGTATCTCCCTCACCAGAACTTATTTATCATTAAACGTTCATAGAGATCAATTTAAAATATCGCCAAGAGATAAAAATAAATAAATAAATCCATAAGCAGCCGGCGATAAATAACGATCCATCATTTCCACTTTACCATTCGATAATGAAAATTCAAAAACATCCCCTAAGTCGCGCCGCAATAATAAACGTCTATAGTAATTCTTGAGCATAAATTTCTAAAAAAATTTCCACCGTTTTTTTGTCCCATAAAATTGTAAAAAAACATTTGATAAATTTCTACACGAGAATTCTTATAGGAGAATTCCTAACAGAAATTATATTGAAATATCAATGTCTATATAGACGTTTCAGCTGAATTCTAATAGAATAATATTAAAAATAGATATCTTCTCAAGAATATCTATTTTCGAAAATAGATATTCTTAAAAAACATCAATAATATTTTGAAAAAGATGATTAAAACGTAGTTGAAAATTCAATCTTTTTATTTTTCAATAATAAAACAGTTTTGGGATAAAAAAACCTAATTATCGTGAAAATCATAATCACAATTGGTTGGCTGTCAGTATCTCCCTCACCAGAACTTATTTATCATTAAACGTTCATAGAGATCAATTCAAAATATCGTCAAGCGATAAAAATAAATAAAAAAATCCATAAGCAGCCGACGATAAATAACGATCCATCATTTCCACTTTACCACTCGATAATTCGAACACCTCCCCCTCGTGGCGTCGCCCCGATGAGCGTCAGCCTGACGAACTACACGAATCATTTACCGACTGTTCATAGAGACGCCGTCGGTGAAGGCGCCACTGGGTAAAGCCCAATTGGCGCTAGTGCTTCTGGGATAAAAGATTTTCACTTGACGACGCCACGCAAGGCAAATCGAGTCCAAGTTCACCTCCGCCATAGCGGTGTATACTTTGTCCCACTGTGCTGTCGTGACGCGACGCCTTACCGACGCTCGGCGTCGTTTCCCATTGATGAGAAAAAACGAGGTAATACTTGTGCAGTGAAATAAATCATCGCGATAATTGATTATTGTCGAATTATCGAGGGATATTCTGTGTGTGAGATTTATTGATAAAGAAGGTGAAAATAATGGAGAACAGACCGGCGCCACTTCGTTCGAGGCGGGTTTGTCGATTCTGCCTGACCGAGTCGGAGCCGTTGAACTTCATATACGAGAGGGATCCCAACAAGCCCTTCCAAGTGCCACTTGCTCTACAGATTATGTCCTGCGTTGCCATCGAGGTAATTCACATTTTCCTCAGCATCATTTTTTCATCATTTCAGCCCTGATTACTATCGATTTTCAGTTTTGTTGAGTATATTTTTTTTGGGAAAATTGAGATCTCGGGGGGTAGGGTAATTGATGTAGGGGCAATCGGCGAAGTAGAGGCGAGTCAATAGCGGGAGGTGAGTTGTTGATAATGGAGATCTCTGGGTTAGCTGCTGAGCATAAAGGGGAAAGAGGTTGTTACGTCATTCGGGTAATCGGTGGTGGGAGCATGCGCGTCGGGTTTAGGCGGGAGTGGACTTGGAAATTATTCAGATTGGGGAATTTTTTTTTTTAAATAGGTAAAATATTTTTGGTCAGTGATCGAGTTTGTTAAGCTTATGCTGGATATAGAAATATTTCAAGTTTATCTTAGGTTGAAAGATTTTTTAAAAAATTGTTTTCCTATCTTAATTCTAGAAATAAATTTATAGATACGTAAATCAATGAATAAATAAATGAATGAATCAGGACGATGAAAATAATAAATGTTTTTTTTTCTTGGAATAAAAAAATCGGGAACAAGAAATTTTTGTTCGGGTGTTTCTCGACAAAGATTCTAATTTTTTCTTAAATATAGACGCAATGAGAGCGAATATTAATTCCTTGTTGAATGAATAAATGACTACATAACGATCACAAATAATATGCATGAATCAGTAGTAGAAAATTGAGGCATTTTTTCGTTTTAACTTGGGATAGCAATGCAAGTTCCGTTGGGAAAACTAAGTTATCATAGTATAACGTTTATATTCATTCATTGTTTATTTTTGGTTTAAAAAATTTGGCTGAATTTTCAAGTGAAAATGAATATTCATTCCCAAATTTCCGTGAATTTTCATGGAATTCCTTTGAAATCTCAGAATTCCGACATTTTTTGGAGGAATTCCCTGAAAATTCAGAGAAATATGGAATTCGAGGGGAGATTTCTCTGAATTTTCTGGATTTTTCCTTAATTTTCTTGGAATACTTAAACTGAAATGACGAATTTTCATATGTAATACGATGAGAACTTCAGAATTATCGGGTATTTCCCAATAGCTTCGTTGCAAAGAAATCAGGCTGTCAAGTTTTGCAGTTTAAAAAATCTGGCGCGCTTGAGGGATTTTCTGCAAAACTTGGCACAATTCTTTGCTGGCAGGGAAGCTTGCAGGAAATATCCGATTAATTTCGAAGCTCGAGGGGTGTTTGTCGGATTATTTTCCACATCACCATTTCGATAAATAGAATTGTGGTATTCGGTCTCATCTTGGCACATTCGCCAATTGTTTGTTATTCTTCTTGCCAACCGAAAAATTACCGAACTACGAGAAATAATCGTAGGTAATACCACAAGAGCTTCAAAATTATCAGGGAAATACCTGATTAATTTTCAAGTTTGAGTGGTATTCGAAAGTGAATTTTTCCATCCAAATTCCTGCCAAGAGAATTGCACTACGAGGCAAAATCCATCTGTCAATTCAAATTGAGGGGCTCACCCGACCAGGAAAACTTTTGTTTTTCACATATACATCAACATGAAAAATTACCACTTGAATTATCAAAAATTATCTTACATTATCTAAAATAATATAATTTTTGAAATTATCTTATATTAGTATGAATCCCGTGTTGGCGATATCAAATAACAGTGGAATAGTGGAATTCTCTTGGCTGAAATTTGGATGGGAAGAATTCCCGCTATAATTCTCTTCTGATTGGTCCACGAGGCGTCGAATACCGCAATTCTATTCTTCTGAAACGTGATGAGGGAAATAATCAGCTATAATACCCCAAGACCTTCAAAATTATCGGATATTTCCCGAATGTTTTGTTGCATAGCAACGAGAGGGATCAGTTTTGCAGACTAAAATCCCGAGCGCGCAGCGCGAAGGATTTTACTGCAAAACTGATCCGTCTCACGTGAAACGTGTCACGTGACCCCGAATACCGCACTCTGATTGGTCAGAATCAGAATTGAGGAAATTGTCAATGAAAAAATTCCTCGAAAATTCAGTGTCAATGTCCCTCTCTAGAACCTCCCACGACTCACCAGAAATCCGTGAATAATTTTCACCACAGCCCCCTCCCCTAAAACCCCCGAAATAACGCGCCTCTCCCCACCCCCGCAGGTGTACGCAGCGGACGGCATGCCGCAGATGATCTGCACGATGTGTCGCTGGAACCTGGACCGTTCCTACAAATTCAAGCAGCAATGCAAAAAGGCGGACGAGGCCCTGCGCGCCTACCCAATGACGGGCACCCTCCCGCGCCCCTTCCCCCCGATAACCAACGAGGCCCCCGAGGGTTCGAACAAGCGCCCGGCGGACCAGCGCTCGCAGTCCGACCAATCCAAAAAGCCGCGCGTGGACAACGGCGACCGCGAGCGTCGGGAGCGCGCCGAGTCCCAGTCCCTGAAGTCCGAGCGCGAGCTCTACAAAGAGGAGACCGAGCACGACAGCGAGGGTGACCAAGAGGCCGGGGGCGACCAGGAGGACCGCAAACTGGAGCCCGGGGAGATCCGCGTGCACGCGTGCGACCAATGCGAGCGGACCTTTCCCCTCCGCCAAGCGCTGCAGCTGCACATGCAGCGGGCGCACCGCGACCGCAACTACAAATGCACCATCTGCGACCGAATGTTCTTCTCGAAATACGACCTGCAGAAGCACATGACGACCCACTCGACGGACAAGCCGCACGTCTGCACGATCTGCAACAAATCCTTCACCCGCGCGAATCTCCTGCAGCGCCACGAGAAGATCCACCGCGAGGACATGCGCTACGCGTGTCCGCACTGCGACCGCGAGTTCTTCACCCCCGAGGAGCTGGAGAAGCACGAGGACACGTCCCACAAGACGGCGAAGCCCTTCCAATGCAACATCTGCAACAAGCGCTTCACGTACAAGCAGGGATTGGAGCGCCACGAGATGCTGCACAACGAGGACAAGACCTTCACCTGCGAGTACTGCAAGGAGGCCTTCCGCACAAGCACAAAACTCGCCCGCCACCTGACGACTCACGCCGGCCACCGTCCGTACGTCTGCAAACTGTGCCCCAAGACCTTCCTGCTGTCTCACCACCTCACGAGACACATGCGTTCTCACTCCGTGGAGAAGCGCCACGTATGCGAGGACTGCGGGAAGGCGTTCAAGCGCAAGGAGAGCCTCGAAGTCCACCAGCTGACGCACACCAAGCGCTCGGGAATGGGCCTCACCTGCGACGTCTGCCAGGAGTCCTGTCGCAATCGCGCGGACTACGTGACTCATATCAAGCAGCACATCGAGGCCGGCGAGAAGATGGGGCCTGACGGACTGCAGCCCGAAGTCAAGGAGAAGATGGAGACCGAGTCCGAGGAGGAGGAGGAGGACGAGCAGTACTCGGACGGGGACGACGACTACGAGCCGCCGGCTTACGTCGTCAAGAAGCTGCCGAAGAAGGTGAAGCCGCCGTCCGAGAGCGACGAGGATGCGGAGCTCGAGAAGGACGAGAGGAAGGACCAAGTGGTATTCGTTCGCGGAAAGGACGGGACCATCGTGAAGAAGACTATAAAGACTCTGATGCCGATCCAGAGGCAGGAGACGAGGACATCGCCGAGGACGCCGCAGGGCAAGGGACAGGTGAAGAGGGAGGAGTCGCCGAAGAGTTCGAGGGGGGTCGACGAGACCGAGGCGGAGGTGCAGAAGATCCTGGCGTCGGTGTTCAAGGAGCACAAGCTCCCTCTGAAGCAGGGGGAGAGCCCGCAGGAGAAGACTGAGGCGCCGCAGAGGCAGATCAAAGAGGAGGCCAAGCCCACTGAGGGAGTCCCCAAGGTGAGTAAATATAAGTTGCTGGGGGAATTCAGCTATTCCATATCTAGTCTGCAAAACCAGCTTGACCCTTAAAGCTCTACCCTTCGACAGGGCTACGCTGTACTTTTGGATATTTTAAGTTTTTTAAATTTTCAACTAAATTGCAGGGAAAAAATTGGAAAATAATCATACCCAGTCAGTATTATCTGAATTAAATTTCGCAAAATATTGATATTTTTTCAAACATTTCCCTCTTCTAAATAAATCAGTAGCGAAGCGGTAAACCGGGTTAAGTCGATTTTGACTATTACCCAGTTTTTGACGAATATCTCGGAATCTAAAAGAGATAGAACAATTTCTGTTATGACCTTTTTTATAGCCCTCAATTGACCCTGCAAAAAAGGTCATGAGAAAAATTTTCCTATCTCTTTTAGATTCCGAGATATTAATCAAAAACGGACCATAAGTCAAAATCGACTTAACCCGTTTTACCGCTTCGCTACTGAAATAATAAAACTTGTTTGCAAAACGGTGGATTATTTTTTATGAGGTGTCTAAAAAATTCGTAATTTTTTCTCATTAATGCAAAAAATTTAGATTTTAATCTTTGATTACAATGGAAATGTTGATTTTTACGTAAGACACTGGGTTAAATCCTGATTTTTGAACATGTCTTCTTTGAAAAATCACAACGATAATTAAATTGAGAAAAAAATTGGAACTGCGAATCTAATCGAGTTTTCTGCAATTTTTTTTGCTGTTTTCAATAATCTTTGAATTTACCGTAATTTATTCCACGTTCACAGGTAATTTTGAACGTTCAATGAATAGGAAATGGGGTATGCAAGCGAAATAGTTGTCCGATAATTCAAGAAGTAGATTTGAAAAAGTTCGAAATTATGAAATTTTGAGGGCAACATTGGGGATTTTCGGCGAGTCGAGTTTTCAGAAGATTTTAATAATTCATTGGGGTACGTCTGGACTGAAAAAAAGATGTCGATGTGTTTCATATATTTGAAAGTGACTACCAATTTTTACGGATTTTTCATTCACCAAGTTTTTGTGTAAAAATAAAAAATAAAAAGACGGCGATCTACTGATGTAAAAAATTATTAATTACGTATATTCGGATTTAATCGATGGGCAGTTGTATTGGTGTACCATTGATTGCCAAACGATTTACAATCACCCTCTGCTTTCAGAATTTATTAATGTTTATATGTCCTTGCTAACTACCGTTTACCCCCCAAGGTCAACACTGTCAAGGTCATCAAACGGATTGTCGTGAAGAAGCCTGGGGGCACGGAGGCCACAACCACGACCACTAAAGAGGTCAAGGAGCCCGAGGCGAAGCCCCCTGCGACACCTGGCCCCAAGGTCACGAAACGAGTGATCGTTAGGAGAATCATCAGACAGGGGGACACCACTCGAGAGGTCATCATGAACCCAGACGGCACGATAATCGACCCTGCTGAGTTGGCCAAGCTGCCAACGGGGAATGTCGTCAAAAGAGTAGTCGTTAAAAAACCGTTGGACAAAGCACAGAATCTCGTGCAGGTGGTTCAGGGTGCCGAGGCCAGGAGTATTGTCCCTGAGTCACCGAAGTTCGAGCTGAAGACGTCGCAGGCATGCTCCAGTGCTGCAGCTGAGAAACCAGTTGTTCAGAAGGTTGAGGTGAAGAAGACTGTGACCACGATTTCCAAGGACGATCAGGAGACGAAGGAGAAGCTCGAGCAGCTGGAGAAGAGGGTCGAGGCCCAGCGGCTGAAGATCGAGGAGCTGCAGGCGAGGAAGCAGCAGGAGTACGATCCTGCTGATGAGATGTCACTCCCGGAGAGACACGACTCCGAGGACGAGCAGGAACTGCCTCTCAAGCGGGTGTTTGTTAAGAGGAATAAGAGCGTTTATGACGAGGAACAGGAGTACAATGACAATGACAAGGGTGACGAGAGGGAGGGGGGACTGGGGGGTGATAAGCTCAGGGAGAAGGAGGGGGTGGGTAAGAAGATAACTCACATCAAGATTGAGGTGCCCTCGGAGGTCGAGGAGATGAGCAGAGAGTTGAGTAGCATTCTCGAGTCGACTGGTAATGTCGTCAAGATGCAGGAGAGTGTGCTGAGCAATTTGACGGAGGTCTCGGGGATCAGTGAGGGGGTTCAGCAGGAGGCGGGGGAGGATCAGGGGGATAAGGGGGCCGAGGAGGAGCAGATGGGGGAGGTGATGGCGGGGGCTGAGGGGGAGAGGAACCAGGCGGAGATCAAGATGGAGCGGCTTGGGCAGGAGGGGGATGGACATTCTGTGGAGATGGAAGTGGAACACGAGGAACAGGCTGAGGCGCAGGAACAGGGGCTTGAGGCCGGGGAGGGACAGGCAATGTCAGAGTCCACTGATGTGTTTGAGACTACCGCTGAGGGGTCTGTCTGCCAGAAGGGCGAGAATCTCGAGGACTCGGTTATTGCACTGTCGCAGACTAATGAAACCATCAATCTTAATGACACTAATGAGAGCCAGGACAGCTTGGAGAATGAACTGCAGAAGATTGCGGGGTGAGGTGGGGCGTAGGCTCTGAGGGATTTTGTAAGGAGTTGTGACATTTATTTGGAAATCTTTGGGGTTTTTATTATGGGTTAATTGTTTGATTTTTTTTTGAGATTTTGTTTTCAAGTTGGTGACGATTAAAATCGTTTTTGGTGCATGGAACTTTGTTATCAGCTGTGATGATAATGAAGTTTCATGTTGAACTTGAAAATNCTGAAGATCGAGGAGCTGCAGGCGAGGAAGCAGCAGGAGTACGATCCTGCTGATGAGATGTCACTCCCGGAGAGACACGACTCCGAGGACGAGCAGGAACTGCCTCTCAAGCGGGTGTTTGTTAAGAGGAATAAGAGCGTTTATGACGAGGAACAGGAGTACAATGACAATGACAAGGGTGACGAGAGGGAGGGGGGACTGGGGGGTGATAAGCTCAGGGAGAAGGAGGGGGTGGGTAAGAAGATAACTCACATCAAGATTGAGGTGCCCTCGGAGGTCGAGGAGATGAGCAGAGAGTTGAGTAGCATTCTCGAGTCGACTGGTAATGTCGTCAAGATGCAGGAGAGTGTGCTGAGCAATTTGACGGAGGTCTCGGGGATCAGTGAGGGGGTTCAGCAGGAGGCGGGGGAGGATCAGGGGGATAAGGGGGCCGAGGAGGAGCAGATGGGGGAGGTGATGGCGGGGGCTGAGGGGGAGAGGAACCAGGCGGAGATCAAGATGGAGCGGCTTGGGCAGGAGGGGGATGGACATTCTGTGGAGATGGAAGTGGAACACGAGGAACAGGCTGAGGCGCAGGAACAGGGGCTTGAGGCCGGGGAGGGACAGGCAATGTCAGAGTCCACTGATGTGTTTGAGACTACCGCTGAGGGGTCTGTCTGCCAGAAGGGCGAGAATCTCGAGGACTCGGTTATTGCACTGTCGCAGACTAATGAAACCATCAATCTTAATGACACTAATGAGAGCCAGGACAGCTTGGAGAATGAACTGCAGAAGATTGCGGGGTGAGGTGGGGCGTAGGCTCTGAGGGATTTTGTAAGGAGTTGTGACATTTATTTGGAAATCTTTGGGGTTTTTATTATGGGTTAATTGTTTGATTTTTTTTTGAGATTTTGTTTTCAAGTTGGTGACGATTAAAATCGTTTTTGGTGCATGGAACTTTGTTATCAGCTGTGATGATAATGAAGTTTCATGTTGAACTTGAAAATCAAAATTAGAGGATTGAAGAAAAGCGTAATTTATTGAATCGGTTGTATGGAAAATTTGATGGGGAATCTAGAGTTTTTATTGAAAATTCCAGTAGTTTGTTGATTTTTTTAAATAGATTTTGTTTTTTCTGCAAGATTTATTCTCTTGAAATCGTTTCTGAAAAAAATCGTTGAATTATTTTCCATGTATTGCATTTATTTCTCATTACAAAATTAAAAAAAAAAGAACTTTAAAAATTCATGTCTGAAAATTTTTGAAAAAGAAAAACAAATTAATTTATATGGAAAAATCAACATCTCTTGATTTTTTTGAGAAAATCGATTAAATCGAATAAATCGGTTAGGTCAAATAAATTTCACAATTTTATAAAATTGTAGAGAACCTTTAATATAATTAGATTTTCTATTCAACTTTTTCATGCATTAAAAATTATAAACATCCCATATGAATCCCAAATTAATATCACAACTTACTTTTTTCAAAAGAAATACTTTCACAGGATTTCACGTCGACTTGGAGAATTCTTATACTTGAATTCGCATTCATTTAGTCAATACTTCAGGACATTAATTATTTTTTATTAATATTCGATAGATTTCATTGATCGTAGGTTAATTGAATCCAAAAAATATGGGGTGCGTATGAGTATAACCTTATGCATCTAGCTCTTCCTTGTGGCTTCTGAATGTGAGACACGTTTGGGAGATTTAGAGGTAGTTTTTCGATGACTTAGGGATCTGGATGATTTTTACGAGAATGTTTCCGAAGATATGAGGAATATCTTGCGAGGATAATTCTAGAGCTTTTTCGTTAGTTCATTAATATTAAATAATAGTTTTTTAAATTAGTGATTGGGACGTTGGGAGATAATTTAGACATTTTTTGTTTCGAAATATCACAATGACAATGAGTGCACACCTCGAGATAATTATTTTCTATTCACTGGAGTCTCTGGATGCTGCGATGAGTCTCGAATCATTCAAGTTCTTTCGATGTTGCTGACAAATTTTTCTATTACCAAGTATTAATCTTTGAAACATTCGGTCCGAGACTGTGAACAATTTGTAAATATGCTGAGATGTTTTTGGCATCATTCGACATTTCTAGAGGAAACTAACAATTAATGTACATATGCATTGAGCATCCGTTTTTGTACGGAATTTAAAATTGCGACGAAATCATTACGATTCCATGATTATTGAGGACCTCAACTTTTAATGGTAAGAAAGAGTTATGATTCTTGTATCTACGTGATGGTAATAGGATAGTCGTGCATCCTGAGATGAATGTAATCACGAGAATTCGTGGAGAATATATTATGTAGACTATGTGGAGAAAATATTTGAATGATGTATCGAAATACAAAGTGTGCTGTGTAAGTGTAAAAAATTGTTTTTCATTTATTTCTCCTATTTTCCCAATTTGTAATATTAGAATTCTATTTAAGAAATCGTTTGTTTTTTTGCGCTGATTTCTATGGAAAATTATGCATTTTTCTCGTCACATTTTCAATGTAGATTTGATAGCAAAAACTCGAAAGATTGTCAATTTTCTGAATAAATCATTCTCTTCAAATTATTTCCTCAGAAGTTTTTACAAACGAATTCTCCACTTTTTTTAGCTGTATTTTTCTTGTTTCTCGTTACAAAGAGCAAAAATAACTAAAAATTCATAATCAAGAATTCTTATAGATAAACCTCCAACGGAATCAATTGTATGAAAAAATTAATGCCATTGAATTTCAGTAGAATTCCACACCAATAAAATTGTTTAGAAAAAGCGTTTGTTTTTCGTGACATACAATTTATTATTACTAGAATGAAAAAAAAATTATTGTATTATTTTTTTCTATTTCTTTGAAAATTATATAATATTGTAGTGCAATTTTTGCATAGAGGAATTGACTTGCTATACACTAAACTGATATAAATTTATTTTCAAAAAATTCCATCGAAAAATATCAAGCTATCTCTTGATATTTTTTTATTAGGAGATTACAAAAATGAAAAATTAATAGGAATCAACAAGTAAATAAAGTGAATAGAATATTCATCGAATTCCAATTTCAATTTAATTAAATTTCCATTAATGTTTAAATAATTTTCTATTCACGTTTGATAATGTTTTGGCAATTATGAAGTGAAATAAAACCAAGAAAAATTCTCACATATATAAAACCTATTTATTTCCTATACATAATACATTGAACATAAAATACTTAATTTTCAAACATTTTCATCTCAATAATTACCGAGACCTCACGATTACAATTAAATTCGTACATTTTCATCCTAAATATCTGAAGCATGGAATCGACATTTCTATATACACTCAAATGATGAATTTCGACGATTACATAAACATTAATCAAATTGGCAGTGAATAAATAGTATAATGACAACATCGATGTACTCGGGATGATATTGACGTGCAGAACGAAAGCGAATTCATGCTGGTTACTGTCTTGTATGAATAATGCCACGTTTATTTCGAGCATAAAACCAGATGATATTGTTACACAGCGTTATTCAAGCTGGCTGACCCTTCCTGGTGAGTCGCTGGAGCTGGAAAAATATTTTTTTCCTCGTGAGATTCTTCTCAAAGTTCACCCCTGCCACTGTCTATGTACTCGAACCGCTGTGGGGTGTAGGATACACTGAGTACTGTGGTTTGAGTGGGTGATGTTTAATTGTTGGTGCATGCAAAATTAATATTTTTCAATTGAGAATATGGCGGATGAAAAAATTGACCGCAAACCGGTAAAAAATTCAAGTCGACTTAGCTCTGAGCTGAATTTTCGGGGAATATCTCCGAATCTAAGGAAGATAGCGAAATTTTCGTCAAAATGTTTTTTGTAGCTCTTAATTCGCTCTATAGAAAAGGTTATAACAAAAATTTTGCTATCTGCCTTAGATTCCAAGATATTTATTGAAAACTGACGAATGGTCTAATTAGACTTGATCCGGTTTACCGCTTCGCTACTGATTTAATAGGAATATTGAATTCCATTAGAATGCTACGGAAAATTTTATAATTTTCGCAAATTTTGATTGTATAACACGCACAAAAAAAATTATTCCATTTCTCTTGAACTTCTGTAGATTTTTCTCGCGAATTAGCTATTTCATAGACAGAATTTTCTATTCGGTTTTATTTCGTAAAAAAATGTATTCGAAACTACGAAAATTTAACAGAATAATTTCATTTATTATCAATTTTTGTTCATACTTGATTATACTCGATTCAATTGTTAATTTCAGAATGAATATTCTCAATTGAAAAATAAAATATTTATGATTCAAGAGTTCGTGAGAGATATTTTTGAATCAAAGAGTTTATTCTCAAAAGAAAAAAAAACAATAGACATATTATTGATTTGACAATGTTTTTCCCGTGTTTGCTTTTTAGAAGTTGAAATGAGAAGATGAGTCAATCGTCTTACAATGGAATTGTAATCATTGCGCGAAGAAGGATTAACGCGAGTGAATCATTTCCTGAGTTTATTGTAAATTTTGTGAGACTATTTCTGTTATTGGAATTGTTCCGTTATCTTATAAAGGATTTACTGGAATTTTGGTTGAATATAATTGCCGTTATTTGTCAACGGCTTAGGATTATTTCGTATTGAATCATTGCATTAAGGAAAACATATCTTGAAAATTTTTTCAGAGAAGATTTTCTCGGCTGTTGAACAGTAAATTTCGTCATAAGGCAGAGAAGGACTGAAGCCACAAAATTTAATTTTTCAGATCTGACTAATTTCAAAATTACTCGGTGGGTTGAGGAAAAATGTAAAAGAGAATTTTCTGCGATTAATTTATTTTAGCTGTAAAATAGTTTTAAAAACATGCGTTCATAAAAAAATTGAGTTTAAGATAAGACTTTCCTGAGAATTTTAACAGAATTTTCAATTTCGGAGACTTCATCTTTCGAAAAAAGTACTCGAGTAATTCTACTAAAATGTTTTCCTCGAAAGTAATTGATACAATCGTATCGTTAATATTTCTCAAAAAATTTGAACTCCAAAAAGTTGCATTTTCCAAATCGAAAAGATATTTAAATAATTCCGAACATAAATTATTATTCGCAAATGCGTTTATGAAATCATTAATCTATTCTCAAGCACCCGATCGACATTGACCCGATTTAGTTGACATTGATGTAAGTTTTTTTCTGATGATTCGAACAATATTTCGCAAAGAAAACAAGGAAATTTTTTTTCAGAAGTGATTAATAACATTGTATCGTTAATAATTTATCAGAAATTTTAAACTTCAAAATGTTGCATTCACCAAATCAAAAAGCTATTCAAATAAATCCGAATGTGCATTCTTTATTCACAAGTGCGCGTATGAAGTAAGTTTTGTAAGTATTTTATCAAAAAATGCTTGAAAAAGCACAAGGAAAATTTCTAATCCAGAAGCAGCTAATAACACGTATTGTTAATAGTTTTTCAAAAATTTTGAACTTCAAAACTTCTTGTTCCGTGGACGCGAGTAAGAAAGGGTTAAATAGATCATCATATCTGTTCTCAACCACAATGTAGGTATTATCCAGTACTTCACTGCATTTTTTTTCGTTTATAAAATCCAATATAACGTTTTTAATCACCGGTTTAACGGATATATATATCCGTTTTCGCCGATCGCGGCAAATGTATATATATGTATACATATATAAATCGAAAAAACGAAAAAAAAATAAATAAAACGAAATAAAACGAAATGAAAAATCATATTATAGCGCCACATGCAAAACCATACGCGCGCATAGCGCGCGTACATCTCTAGTATAATAAAAGATCCGAGAAAACCTGCGCAATCGCAATTTATGATTCTCTCTCATCTCCTCATTTCAATAAATAACCGATTGAATCTACATCGTCACTGAATAAAATACCTCCTTCTCCTCGCCGGCGACAGTAGCGTACGTCTTGCCTTCCGGTACCTCAGCAGGTCCCAGAGCGTGTGTGTAGATGAGTCCACCAGCCATTCCCCCAAGGATCGGACCCACCCAGTACAGCCAGTGATTATCGAAGTGCCCCATGACCACAGAACTCCCCAGTGCACGAGCGGGGTTCATTCCCGAGCCCGTTCGCGGTATCTAGGAATTGAACATCAGTTAATGCGAATTGTTGAGGACGAATTGCCGAGGGAGAGCGTAAACTTACGCCAACAATGTGGCCGACCGTGACCGCAAGACCGATGATGAGAGGAGCGATGCCCTTGCTCTCTGGTTTAGCCCCGTCGCAGGCCCCGCAGACAACGATCACCAGGATGAGTCCCAGGAAAAACTCAATGCCCATCCCTTGGACGGGGGTCATGCCGGGACTCAACGAAACAACGCCAATTGCCGATTCCATTCTCTGGGAGGAGAGCGCACGAATCGCTGCCGATCCCGCTATCGCTCCGGCGGATTGCGCGATTATGTAGAGAATTGCACGGACAACTGGCACCTAATGAGAAAAACTTGCATGACTTTTTTTTCATTTTTGGATCTCAAGTGTCGAACTGAAATGATTAATTTTTCATTTAAAGCAGTACAAATACAACAGCTCGTTAACCCTAAATTCTTTTCGTTTAGCGTCTTGTTCCTCCAATATTCGAAATTTCGTTTGGAACTTGCAGGATTTTTCAATCTCAAGTAAATGATTTATTTTTTATTTATAAACATTAGAAATATAGCTCGTTAATTAATCATTGATTGTCGAATGTTGAAGTCGCTGATGACTACACGGCGAGAAATTTTTGATAAAAATTATCCTCCCATTTTATAGAAGTGTATCATGAGTCATCGTTTCCTCATTTCTATCCCGAAATTTAGTAAAAATTATTATATGATGATTAAATTTTATTCTACGTTAGCGAAATTTGATCCTGATAAAAATAAAAATTACTGTGCCGGTAGGGTAAAATTTACCAACCGTTCTCGAATTTTCGTTATCTACAAAAAAATTATTGGACTGGAAGGGTAAAATTTATTATGCGTCACGATGAAATTTTTCTAACGTGGAATAAAATTTGATCATCATATATTAATTTTTACTAAATTTCGGGTTAGAAATCAGGAAACGATGACTCATGATACACTTTCATATTACGGTAGGATAATTTTTATCAAAAATTTCTCTCCGTGTACACAGGGGTGGTTGAGTGCTGGACCAATGACAGAATGGCTCGAGCCAACCTAACCCAATCTTCACGTGCGCCTGATCCAATGGGCGACGGCCACTCCCCTCTCTCCTTACATTCGACCAACGGAGCGCTACCCAGCATTACTCCCCTCTCCTCACATTCGACTAACGGAGCGCTACCCAACATTACATGCGACGACATGACCGAAATCTAAAGTTTCAAAAACGTCTGATTTCCAATCAATTATAATAAAATATCGAGGTAATACTTCTGCATTTTTTTTTCGTTTAGCTATTGATGGATTCACCTTTCCAATAACGAGTAGCCCGCAGGTCACCGCGGGATTGATATGACCTCCGGAAACATGGCCTATCGCCTGGACCGCTCCAGCGACGACCAGGCCGAAAGATAGAGCGATGGCTACCCTATTCGTCACGGAATAATCAGCGCCATCTTTCAGCTCGTAGACCGCCCCGCAGCCGAAGAAGTTGAGGAGCATTGTGCCGAAAAATTCAGCCAACAGCGCACGGTACAGATTCGCCTTCGGGTCTTTCAGCTCGTGGAGTCCCAGTGCGGCTTTTAAACCCGCCATTTTTCACCTAAAATCATAAAATGGGAACCGATTTTTTTGATGAAACAGTTTCTATTGGATATTTTTTAGTTATAAAACGCGCGCAGTAACATTACAGAATTCTTGAGTAAAATTTGATACAATTTTCAAGAGAAGTTCAATAGAAATCCAGCAGAACTTTTTATTGAATTCCTGAGGTCTTTGCTTCCGAATGGAATTATATTCGTCAAATCAAAAATTTCCAATTGTTTGTGTCAGGATAACTAATTGTGGTCTCAGGAGTTCCAAGATGCTATTTATATATATGTAAACAAATTCAATAGAACAATTTAGTAAATTCATGAGAAAATTGTATTGGAATTCTCTAGAAATTCCATTGGGATTCTATTAAAATTCTAGGGAATTCTCGTTAAAATTATATTGGTTTTTTGCGTTGATTCTATGAGATATTTAATAGAAAAAAGTCAATAGATTTCGATTTTGCTACATGAATATTCTCTTGGAATTTTTTCTACAAAAATACCTGGGCATAAATTTTCTAAGTTTTTTTTCACTTGGATCCTGCAATGCAAAACAAAACAAAATATAGCGGAAAAACTTGGAAAATCTGCGCCCAATCATTTCAATAGAAAAAATCTTGAGAAAAATTCAAACAGAAAAATCAAGATCTATTGACTTTTTCCTATCAAGCAGCTAATAGAATCTTCGCAAAAAACAAATAGCATTTTAACGAGAATTCTCTAGAATTTTAATGGAATCCCCATAGAATTTTTAGAGAATTCCAATAGAATTTTCTATCGAATTCGCTAAGATTTTCCATTGAACTTTTTCATACGTGTATGTGACCGATTTTTTTCGACGATAACTGAAAACCTGATTGTTTAAATAAATCCACTTATTATTTAAAATATTTTCTCCAATGCCATCCAGACCTAGTTCGATTATGAGATTGATTGCATGATCTGTTATTGAAAAAAAAATTGTTTTGAAAGCAGTATTCAGAAAAAGGTAAAAAATTTCACCCTTGGGGCAATGTTAGCTCACAACGTTGGGGCAATATTGGCTGCCAACATTGGGACAATGGTGTCTGCCAACTTTGGGGCAACATTGAATTTAAAATACCACTGAATTCAATTTAAAATACATCGTCATCGAAATTCCCCTCTCAAACAAATTGCGAATTTATTACCAAAAATATATTGACTGTGCTGCGACGAAAGCAATTTCCCACTTGTTCTATGAAACTGGGATCACCTCACATTCCTCAAACCCCCAATTACCGTAGCTCAGTACCAATACAAATCCCCCGTAAAATTGACAAAACATTTTCCTTATCAGCTCATCAGGATCTCATAAACTTCAGCATCGGCCAAGACCATAGCGTGACGTATCATCATAACTTTAATACCTTCGTTACCCCAAAGTACTTTAACCGCTCCCCCTCAGCCCCTCCTCGCCTCAACAACGCGAATAAAAAATGATTTACCGAAGAAAATGGGAGCGGCGACGGCACTGGGAACAAGTCCTCCCTCTCGTCACACGGGTGAGGCCATGAAATGACCAACGGGACCATCAAAAGGGGTGTGCCACCACCGGATAAAAATGATAAAACAAGAGAAAAATTATGCGCCCCTGAAATGACACTGACCTCGTGTCACGATTAGATGTTTTGATTTACATCTCTCAATATGGAACTGGGACAATGCCAGGTGGTAGTATTTTAAAGCCAATGAGACAATGACGAGAGTAATGAAACAGTCGTACGTATTCTGGTCGTATTCATCCGTTTGTGAAGGCTAATAAGAGCTATGCACCAATTCGTCACGAATTATTTAATCGTTTTAAAATGAAACGAGAGTGTGAGGATAATTTGTCACCCACGCGAACACGTTTCGTGGGTATTTTCGCATTAACGAGGAGTAGTTGTGGGAATTGTGGAGTGTTCCAATTGGATAAGTTATTGTAATGTTGGGGCTTACGAATGCGGATGGAGAGCGTGAATTTCATTAGACGTTTTTGCAGTCAAGTGATTGATTTTTTGTGGATTTTGGATTTCTTTAGGGTTTTTGTGTCGTCAGATGCAACGGAAAGATATGAAGACATTTTTTTCATAATTATCGGGGTAAACAGTTCATTTATGAAACCCTTAAGGCACTCAATAAGTTCATGCGCGGTCGTGATATTAATTTGTGTAAAAAATTGTTGGATATTCCATTTACGGGGAACATTAATTATTGAATAATTTGCGCATACATATATTCTGGACAATTTTATTTTGCGGAGAATAAGTATAAAGTGAATGAGAATTTTTTTTGCTTGACAGAGAGTTAATGTCAGGATGATTATTCATTCTCCGAGAGTCGAACTTTGTAATATTTGAGGGAATTCTGTAATTTTTTAAGAAATGAAATGAACCAATTTTTTCGTGTACCCGAGCTTTTATGGAATTTATTTTTAAAATTTTTGCATTCAAGTGATTGATTTTTTGTGGTTTTTGGATTTCTTTAGGGTTTTTGTGTCGTCAGATGCAACGGAAAGATATGAAGACATTTTTTTCATAATTATCGGGGTAAACAGTTCATTTATGAAACCATTAAGGCACTCAATAAGTTCATGCGCCTTCGTGATATTAATTTGTCAGGAATCATTGAAATAAATATAAAAATTGTTGCATATTCTATTTGCGGGGAACATTAATTATTGAATAATTTGCGCATAAATATATTCTGGACAATTTTATTTTACGGAGAACAAGTATAAAGTGAATGAGAATTTTTTTTGCTTGACAGAGAGTTGATGTCAGGATGATTATCCATTCTCCGAGAATCGAACTTTGTAATATTTGAGGGAATTCGGTAATTTTTTAAGAAATTAAATGGACCAATTTTTCGTGTACCCGAGCTCTTATAGAATTTATTTTTAAAATGATAGTTCATCTTATTTTTTATTTTATTTCTGAATAATCAACTCGGGTTGATGGATTGAAATTTCTACCAACATGAAGAAGACAGCTGTCTATCGATTGAAAAAAAAATTCTGAGTGTTTCTGATTTTGGAATGCACATCCTTACAGTAGTACAAACATAACTTCAATTTTGAAGATTGAAATCAATAAAGAACCTCAAAAAATTCGAAAAAAATGAATAAAAATTCTGTTTCTATGATGAAAATTATCGTGAGTGCCTGACAGTTCCGTGAAATTTCCTACAACCACATTTCGCTCCGGAATTACGGAAAAGATACGCAATTTTTATTGAATATTTCTCTCCGTGCAGTGAGACTGCTCCAGACATGTTATGGAACTACGCTTCACCCTTGAAAATATTTGAAAAAACTAATGAGGCAACATTTATATTATCGAAAGACATTTGGCATGTAACCGGATTGTTTGATGTTTCAAATGTTCCCCCGACGCTGACATGAATTCACTTCGAGTTATTTTGTAAATAGCCGACATCTGTAAATCTCAGCCACCAGTGGGCCAGGCGTCACTCCGTCCGAACATCAACTTGCTCTGACAATAAATTTAGATGCCATGTTTCGTCGAGCTCGCGGGGGTGTCCTATTACCCTATGATGCCACTGTGGACCGTAAACGAGGGCTTCCGGAACACGAATAATCTCGGTGAAATAACAGTCTCATATTTTTTCAGTCATCTGTCGATCGGAGATCGTTCCCCAATGGATGACCTTCGAGTCGTATCTCACGTTTGTATTGTTTGTGTTTACAAATCAATTCGCAATTCATTGTATGCAGAGGACGAGCAAAAAAATCTCAAATGCATGAAAAATGCATGCAATAGGAAATCCTAGCTGTTTACCTAGTAATTCTATTCAATAATCTTATCCAATCCAAGTATTTCTAACATTTTTGTGTGACCCGCACGACGCATTTGAAAAAGTTTGATCCTTAAATTAGTCAATTTAATTGCAGAAGAAATTTTTTCAAAAATAATAAGTCTTCTTTAATTTTTAACAATTTGTTGGTGCGAATAAATAATGTAAATTTCGAAAACTTAGGTCTTATGTCATAAAATTAATTGATCATAAATAATTTGTTAAATACACAAAATAAAATGAAAATAAAAATAAATAAAAAGCTTATAATCTTTAAAAGTTGCAATTTCACGTATGACAACATTCGATAGAAAAATTTAGCCCTTTTTTTAGGAAGTTCAAGTGATTTTCCATCGAAAATCTGCAAGAATTACATTAGAAAATTCTCTTTGCTTTTTAAGCCTATTAAAAATTATTTAACTTCCCAAAATATTTCCTAACAGTTCAAAAAATATGATAAAATAACACTGAAATGGAAGTTTAGAGACGTATGAGCAAATTTATTTTGCTCGCATTTTTAACTGGATGTTTGTTTATAGAAAAATATCTACAGATGACGGTTTTTCTGTTTAATTAATTCTGTTGGGATTTTTCTATAAGAATTCTTGAATACGATTTTTGCAAGTTTTTTTTCTTGGATGTCAATAAATAAATAAAAATACAGCGAAAAAAACTTGAAAAATTTACGGCCAAGAATTTCTATTAAAAAATGAAAATCTATTGACATTTTTCAGCAGAAGTCTAATAAAACTGCAACAGTATTGTTACAGAGTTCCAATACAAATTCAATATCATTTCCTAGAGATGGCGCGATATTATTGTATTAAATTTTTTCATGCGTGGATATTCAACTGTAAATGTTGAAAAGAATTTTAATGAAAAAAAAAATCTGAATTTGGAATAAAACTGTGATAAAAACCTCCTAACAATCTTTCAAATCCATTTTTCAATTTGTTCCAAGAATAAAAAAATCTAAAAACACTTAAAAAGTTGTCTATCTAGAAAATAAAAAATGAACTGATTTTTCGTAAATTTATCATTTTCCTGAATTCCCCCAGACATTTTCTGTTTCCATTCCAATAGAAATCGGCAAAGAAAATCTCGCAAAACACCGCGGCTGTCCTTCTATTCCATCATCCGCGAAACCAAATAAAAACCTTAATAAATAAATAAATAAAAACGAGACAGGCCATCATATCGAGTTGAACGACACGAAAGTAGTGTCTCACGTCCCCAGTCCCCTGATTCTCCCAGTTCTGACTGATCTATTGGATCTCACACTGCGATCATTATCCCTTTATGGCAATGACTGGGTCTTCCACCTGCCTCGCAAGTAGTACCCGTGCAAAGTGTTTACCAACTCGTTGTCTGTGGTCACTGACTGGTCCACTTCTTCCATAAAAATCAAATGGTCTCCCCTTACCTAATATAGATATCCCTCCGAGCATTATCCCCATAATTAAAATGAAAACACGTCTCGTTTACCATCAACTCCAAAGTAAAAATTGAACTTCACCAAAGTGAGAGGATAAATAAATAAATTTGAGAGGGAATTATCGGTTTAGTTGGTAATTTTATCTGTCATCAGATGCTTGATACTCACCGTATTGTGGTATTGGCACTGCACAGAGGAAAAATTAGTATCCTTGAGAGTCCGGAGAAATAGAAATAAAACAATGACGAGTGACACCGGAATATTTAAGAGATAATTGAATTTTCCACTGGAGAATTAATTGGGATGAATGAATAAGAGAATTTCTAAACGTAAAAAATGGTGAATGATGTGCCGGTGAGACAGCCTCACTGTCGTGCTTCCTGGGCGACAACTGGCTGTACTATAGAGACCGCCAATCTCATATAGGTGTATCTAAGCTTGAGTCTGCAGGCTTCTCGCTCAAAACGAGAGTAGGGGATATCGTGACGATTTAAAGTCTCTTTTTTTATTCTAATAAACGCACTGTTCTCACTCCCTAATGTTCAACTGTCTGTTCGACAAAACGAGTTCGTTAACTGGAGTGAAAAATGGGGATGAGGGGTAATGAGGTTGCGTAATGCTTACATTTTTGTGATAAGGCCAGCTGGAGGTAGGGGATTGTCATTATCGCACGGTTGAGGTGAAGCTTAATAAGATGATTTGAGTGGGCAAATAGTGTTGAGTGTTTTGTACACTGATTCGCTGGCTTTTGTTATATTTGAGGAGTTTCACAGATTTATATTGGGGGGGGAGGGGGAGGAGAAGTTCTCGAGACACAAAAGAATTCTATAGAAATGAATTTTCCCAGTTTTTTCACTTAATTTTTTTTTCATTAAAAGAGTTGGATGAAAAAACTGAGGAAATTTAGGCGGAGAAATTTTTATAGAAAATATGTCAACAGAATAAGTTGTATGCAAAGAACATTAGGGCAGTGTCCATCTGGGTAGCTTACCCTACGCGATAATTTTGAAACTCTTGAAGAAAACAAATCATTTCCAACAGATAAATTATAACACCTAATTAGCACATGACGATGAATTCTCGCGGAGGTAACCAAGTCGCAGGGAATTCAGAATTATTCCCTTAATAATCGGTTGACGATTTAGATTATCCATTATTTCACTCATTTCCAATTGCTAATGGAGATTAACAGACTTCAATCATTTTCACAAAAACGTCTCTTAATATTAATAGAATAATGATCATTTCTGATCCCTGCGCCCTGGACAATTCCCTAATGAACAAAATGTACATGATACATGAACCAAAACACTTGAACAAACTTTCTTCTGAATTATTCATGAATTTTCTATCCACATAAAGCACCAACTCCCGAATAACACAAACTTCATGAAAAAGTCTTGATGCTTCACGCGAGAATTTGAATAAGAATCGATACCCTCTATGTTTACCTCACTTTTTTTCAACTGTATTCTGAAGTGGGTGGTTACAAATATTGAGATATTTACCCACGCCACGATTGATCCAACATTTGTCGAATTGGAAAGAGCTCCTGACACGCAATCAAGTGCACAGTGCTCCACAAAACCGTTGGAGATCCGAAACATAAGTTCCATTGTCAGCTATTCTTCAACAGAGTTAGGCGAGACCATAATGTAGAATTAGAATCACTCCATTACATACAAAATCAGTTGACTGCATTTTACAATTTTTTAATTGTCATTACATTAATCATTAATCATGATTTTTCAAATTTTAAAATATTTCATAAATTAGTAATTGACTTCGATAGACTGACGATCATTTGATTAATTGAAAAATCAAGTTCAGAAATTTAGAATTAATTGGTTGATAGTAATTGAAAATTGAAATTATCTTCAAATTTCAATAAAAATCAGTGAACTTTAATTAAATTAAGGTAAATTTCTTTTAATATTACTGAAGTAGTCCAGGGGTTATTCACTGCTGTAATCACATGAAATCAGTGAAATCATGTAACTGCATCGATTTTATATGAAATCACTTGCGATCACTAAATCGGTGGGATGAAATTTTATTTTGAAACGTATGGAAAAAATATATAAATTTGTTATCGAGTCAACGCGCGTTTTGACGACTACGGTATCATTTATCATAAATTTGATATCAGTTGAAGTCATTTGACATAATGAAATCGAGGCCAAAATCCTATGCAATCACTCGGGATCACTTGAAATTATCAATCATTGTGTCACATATTCGGTAGTGAATAACCCCTTGGAAGTAGTGATTTTTGCCGATCCCTGTTCCCTAAGCTTTAACATTCCACACCGCCTTCGCATTACCTGAAGTCCGGTCACTCATTTTTGTTATTTCACGAATGACAAAATTCCGTTAAAAAACCTAGTGAATTTATTAAACAATTCTGTTGGACTTTTATTGAACTTTCTATCAGTTTTGAGCTGATTCTATGAAAATGTTCAATAGAATTTCAATAGAATCGACCAAAAACTAATAGAAAATTCAATAGAAATCTCATAGAATTGTCTACCAAATTCGCTGGGTTTTTCTATTAATTTTTTTTCGTGCGTATTCTATTGAAATATTGTCTATAAAATTTTTGTGGCCCAAATTTTCCAAGTTCTTTTGTTTAATTTTCTTAATGAACGGAGAAGAAGAATAGAATGAAAAAAAAAATTGGAAACCTTGAGCCGAGGAAATTCTATAGAAAATATTTCAATAGAATAAGTCATACAGAAAAATCGAATTCGCTAGGTTTTTCAATCAAATTTTTTCGTGAATCTTCAATTGACACATTTTCTATCAAATTTTCAGGCCCAAAATTTTTCAAGTTTTTTTGTTTAATTTTCTTGATCAGGGCAGAAATAAAATAGAATTTTTAAAACTTGGAAAATTTCAGCAAAATTAAAAAATCAAAATTCAAAAATTCAAAATTTTTCTATACAGAATTTTTCAACATAATAAGTTGCACTGAAAAATCGAATTCGCTAGGTTTTGCTATTGAATTTTCTCGCCCAAATTCCACAATTTTTTTTGTTCAATTTTCTTAATGAAAAAAGAAGAAAAATAGAATAAAAAAACATGGAAAATGTGAGCCGAGAAAATTCCACAGAAAACATTTCAACAAAATAAGTTGCACAGAAAAATCAAATTTGCTGATTTTTTCTATCAAATGTTTTCGTGCGTGTTGTCCCCTCACAATTACGGCAACATCTTGAGTCACTGGGGGAATTCCTTCAGCTGTCAAATGTGGAGCACCGAAAACAAAAAAAGCGATAGCAACACGTCATGACAAACATGATCCTGTCGACGTCCACGTGGATATGCCGAGTTAATTAATTACTCGTTTGCATGAAGTGTTATGTCGGTGAAAAGAAACGCGCGATGTGTGTCATCTACTCGCACCTGCGGCAGTGCAGATACATTTCAAATTGTCGGGATGAAATGAAAACAGAGGCCGCGTCTTTGACTAACGAACTAGTAATTCATTAGACATGAAAAAAAAAGAAAATAAATTACCTCGGGCTGCATGTGTGAACCTGATGATGATGTGCAGTGAAATGAGTGAATTTTCATGGTATAATTATCCTGATGACTTCCAGACGCGCGACTTCAAGGTGTAAACCTGGGCAGTCGTTAATTTTAATGGAGCAGTGACGATCTGCTGAGATATGACAGAGGTAGGTGGTAGCCTAAAGCCTTGATAATAAATCAAAACACCAGAGGAATTATTCAAATCGCGAAGATAATTTTCATTTGATTTTTTATTGAAGTCGATGATTGATGACTCACTCTCGAATGATTTAATAATTTTTTTTGAACATTGCATTCCTGTTTTGTTATTTTTTTCTTCGATTTTTTCTCGAGAAGTATTATTCTCTGTGATGAAATAACTGAGCAGCTCGGAGTCGTGAAGATGCGGGACTTTAGTATTTTTCTTTGTCGTAAAAGACGTAATTTCAATTGAAAATGAGATATTTTTTTAGTTGGGTTTGAGGAGATGAAGCGTGGAATTGTTCCAACAGCTTTCGCGGGAGTAGAATGGGAGCTCCGAGGAAGCCGATTATTTATTGTGTGCTGCGGCAAAAAATGAGAACCGGTCAGTGACTTGTACCGGGGAATTTATGATGAACTTTCTTGTGGAGGAAATGAGAGGACACGGTGATGTCTCAGATCTTTTGGTTTGGTATGATGTGGAGGGAATCTTGGTTGGGATGACGGATGTGATGAGGCTGGTGACTGGAGATGTTCTCTTTAGAACAGTTTTATGTAATTTAAAAATTTTGTTTGTTATTTTTTTTTATTCTTTAATACATTCAATTCGTTTTGTTTAATATGTTTAATCGATGGGGAATCATACATTACACGTTACATGAAACATGATTTTTTTTTAATTTGCTCACTGAGAGAAAAATTTTCTAATATGTAGACAATATTTACTTGATAGAACTAAATTATCTTCAAAGCAAATTATTTTCACTTTTCATAAAATAAAATGAAATTAAATTAAAATAAAATTTGTCAATTGAATTGCGCGCAAAAAATTGAAAAAACCATGAATATTCAGCGCCATTCAAATTACATTTTGCACAGAATTATTATTTTTGTAAACATTCGTTGTTTATAAATGAATAATTGAAAGTATTTAAACTTTCGGAAACCTTATTTTTTAGGCATAAAATCGGTTTCTGGTAAAATTCTGAATACGAATAAATTTGTTACAATTCCTAACAAATGATTGATATGGTGGAAATTTGATTGTTTATAAATTATTTATAGAAAATGTTCATAATTGTCAAAAATTGTCATTTTCAAATTATTTTATTAATCTTTCTCCAAAATTACACTTTCTAATTGTTTTTCAGATTTTTTAAATGTTTTCTAACAGGTGAATACAGAGATTCAAATGCAGACCTGCAAAGTTTAAATAAAAAAATCATTGTTAAATGCAGCTTAAATGAGAGCTCTGATGTTCGACTACAGACGTAGAAAAGCATTTGACTAGAGAAAAAAAGTCCTTGGATATCCTGAAATCTCAGAATATTTTCGCTTCCCGGATCTCGGATAAATTCTCATTCATTACTCTCGTTCCGCGTTACATCATCAATCTATTATACATCGAAACATTGGAAGTGCAGAAAAAAAATCATGAAAATAATAAATACTTCGACATTGACGATTCTTCGACGCGATTTAAGTGAGTTCACTGACGACAAAATCATTGTTGAGTACAAGAATATTTTACCGCATGACATCTTTCTCTGGCCACCAATAAATAAATAAATAAATGAATAAATGAATACATGAATGAATAAATAAATAAATACACTGATATGTTTAAGATATCAGAATTTTTTTTCTCACTGCAGCATTTGATAAAGAGAATATCTTAAT